GGTATATTTATCAAACTGATTCGTAATGGAAATACCCGTGAAACAAATAAGCTTACTCGAAAGGACTAGATGACGTGCTGATAGTGGTCAGGTGTTCTTAAGTTCTCAAAGATTCATTAAATGAGATTTTTGTTAGATATGCTTACACAAAAACTGGTACTACTCGTAGATTTCTCTTTTGTTTTTATCATAAGAACATTGTTTTAAACATATGGAGAAAATAGTGCGAAATTTGGTTCAGAAACGTTAAATCGGGCAATCGATGAAATACTTTACATAAACTTCACTTTGGTATTTATTTTTAATACTTTATATAAATTTTCATATGAAGTCGTTACAATGACAAGAAACATGCGATATCATCTATAAATGTATTTGTTGTAAAGACATTAACAATTTTAATTCAAAAGTTGCATATATCTGACAAAGTAATAAAAGTAACGATTCGTTCCCAAATTCACAGACGTGTGGTCAGTAAAAAACTGTTAAAATTAAATATGGAAAATGAACAAATCATATGTTTTATGTTATAACTTGTATGGAAGCATAAACATAGTGCACACAGCAGTTATGCAGAAATTGTGAGTTACAAAAATTGAATCATGGAAAAGTTCATGGAAGCTTTCATCTACCAAACCCCATGCTGGTTTTACCACCAATCATGACGACAATAGGGTTGACGTACTTGGCGGACAAACGTGGCTTAGGTGCATATCAAGAAGATTGCATGATAGAGGACATTTTATTGAAATGTGGATCAAAAAATAAAGTACCGAAATAAATTTTTTTATTATTGTTTTCCATTCATTATAAGTGTATGACTGACTGTGAAAGAAATTTGATGCAGTGGAAGCAAATTAAACGCGTTTTATTAAGCAAACCATATATTTTAAAATCTTGTCAAACTTCTTATCCGTCAGTCGAACATATTCAAAGTTTGTGCTGACATGGTTGAATCTCATTTACGCGATCAGAATTTTCTTTCCGGTAACAAAATCCTAATGTAAACTTCTAAGATTTGTATACCATGTACAAAGTTATAAAGCGACGCCTTTTATCAGAAATTCATTTTGAAATTGAAAATCTTGAAATAAAGAAAATAATTTGCAGCATTATGATCGATCGCCTAAAGTTGGTGGATTGATTAAATAAGGCCGCCATTGCAGATTACCGATCCATGATCTTGTGAATAATGCACTCTCTCAACAATTATGACATCACCAATTGCGGGTATAGGATTCTCACGCAGAATAGTCAAATGGCCAAAGCAATCGATTAGCACCACAAATACGTTACATCTTATTATAGGTTATAAGAAGATTATTTCAAAAGATGAAACATGCGTTAAAGATTGATCATGATTACAATTTTTCCAGTGATTAGTTGGAATTCGTCAACATCTTGCTAATCTTCTTTACTATAATTTACGTTACCGTTACGTTGACTATAAATGGATATATATATATATTTTGTCCGTCTACTTTGCATTACAATAAAAATTGCATTAGGCATTACATTTAAATTTAAAACATTTGCTGAAATGAATTCACATTTTTCGCTTTTTGTTTTACAAGTTTGAACAAAAACACTTCAAAATTCACAATGCATTTATTGCATCAACAAAGAGGAATTCATCGCTCTCAACGGGCTCCATATTAAAAGCCTAAAAATTTACCTCATATACCGAGAGAGAGAAAACTACGAGCGGTTGTGACAAAGTATCGTACCTGCAGAATAACGAAAAGTTATGGGTGCAAGTAACTCAAAATATTTATGATCCATACCACGTGGTATGCTGTGGCATTTTTAGGTCGCCTTATGAGCGCTAAAATAATGTTTCGTGTATTATTATCTCCTAACCATTGTTTATTCATAACGGTTGTAGAAATCGGAATTTTATTTTTGTATACGTTACCCACGAGGTATTCGGGAATCTACCCACATGCCGAAATGCGGAGTGGACCTACACATTAATATATATACTTTTATCTTTATTTTCATCATTAGATGGTAGAACCGTCGCGTAGTAAAAACTTCAAATTTTATTACGGCCGAGATTTCTTCTGGGTAATTTCAGACTTTTAAGTACGACGATTTTCTAAAATCCGAATTTTTAGAAAAATGCAAATGTGTCTGGATTTTTCGCGCGTGTGGTTGTGCGTTCAACCATATACTGAAAGGTTCATGTGAACTTGAAACAATAAGAATCGACATTCTTTTGATGATGTTATTCAGTCATATTTGGTTTACTTGGTGACATGAAGTAATATGTCATTTATCTATATCTTTGTGCATACTTGTTACATGATTTATTTATTTCAAATTCATTACACATTCAAATTCGAAATAAAGTAAAAATGTTTTTCTATTTATATTGTTCGACAGTACAAATCCGTCCAAGCAGATGGGCTTTATTGTTGTTACAGCTGCTTTTTATTTTCTATTTTTGCTACGTGCTCAAACACTCCAAAATCAAAATTTAAAAAATATTTTTGAATTTGACTTCATTATCAGCACATATGTCCAAGTGGTACATATTCAAGAATTGGGGTTTTCAAACTTATAAATAAACAAAAACGCTAAATTGAGTTATATAACTAAAATTAAATCCCCGAACGGACACAAACATCCCCGTAGCCGTAATTGTGGAGTGTAGGTTTGAATGTCTTTATGACCTGTGTTCATACACCAGAAAAACGTTCGTGAGGTTATTCACATTGAAATATATATTTTTAAATGGGCTAAATCATGATTGTAGCGGAGTCGTAGCAGAACGGTTCCAGGTGATCAAGGAAGGAGAAAATAGAATTTTAATAGATCGCTGTGTGGGAAATTGGTGTCGTGTGGAAGTTGTCTCGAATTTCTTCATCAAGGTGAACGACTAGATAATATTGATCTGTAATTTGGATGTCTGTATCGTTTGGTTTTCAGGTATTATATAGTTTGTGTGATAATATTGAATATGGATCTGAGATTGGCGTAGTCGTCTTTATTTTAAATGCAGTGAGGCTAGTAATTGTTGAACAACAGCTTGACCATTATGGTTTTGGTAATTGATTTCGATTCTGACTTTATTTTAAGAAAACTTTTTAATGAGTCGATTTGCAGGTATTGTGCAGCAGAGCAAGAAAGAATCTACCAACGAAAATCGCGAGTAAACAACGCTCCTCACTGCGAACGAAAGCAGAAGGACTGAGTGTGGTTTTATAACTGTCATATTCTGAGGCAGCTGTTGGTAAAACGCGTTCGGTCGGGTTGATCTATAACACTTGCGTGAAGTTTTTTCTATGCTAATATTACAAATTGTGATGAAACAGAAAGATTTCCCTCAATAAAATACCGAACCAAGAATAAGGAATTGTTAGATATTATATCAAGGATTAAATCTAGGAATCTAATGCTGTAATTTAGAGTCAGGATGTAGAATTTGATGAATTTTTAGCATTTTCAACGCTGCCATTTTACAGGGTTGTACTACGAGTTTTATAAGTTGTAGTATTAAGTGTAGGCTGTATTTGGAAGGTGCGTTGTACTGTGCCAAAATTAATATTCCGTGTACAGCTTGGGTATAAATTTTGACTTGTGAAACTTGGGGGACCAAAATATAATTGACGCCAGGCTGATTTTTTGTTTTCTGCTCATGGTGATAAGTCAGTTTACAACTCTGTTACGATTCACCATTTCCTTAGCTTAAAAGTGAATTATTTCATCATCAAAATTCATTCGAAAAGTAAATCTAATTTTGTGCAAGTTATATCACTAATAGTAAACAAATTTGCCTTTATAATTTATGCAAATATATAAAATTTAACAATTTGTATCATAAACAAAACGCCATTTCAATTTGTATATTGTAAGACGACAATCTTATCATTTAGTTATATATACTAAAAAATGTACTTAAAGAACGGTAAATATATCTTTAATCTAGTACTTAAATTAAATGATATATATCAATATGGATTTCATTGATAAAACTATATTGATAAAAAGTACACGGTAATCTATAGTTATAGTATTTCATGTAATGACTGGTTGTTTTATTAGTATTGACAAATACATGCCTACGTTCGAGATATAACATTCAATGCTTCACTCCGTGTTTAGATAGATAAACTATAGCTGATGTTTGATTCGGTTATTCACAAAAATGCAAAGTAACTTTTTCGCTTATATTTAGAAGTACACTCCGTATTTATCTTTTACCCGTTTTTAACCTTGTTTGCATTGACGAGATCGCGTCCCAGAAGGTCTTTAATATTCTATTAATAGTGTTTGATCGCTGCGACATTATAGACCCATATATCATTTAGACATGAATTCGATACTCTACGTCACAGGTTTTCGAAAAAATTTAGTGCATAATTATAGACAGAAAAACGAAAAACTTAATCTTATGTGGGCGACTGAACATTTTTTTTTATTATAAATAATGATTAATTCATTTGAAATATGCTTGTTTTGTATAACCAGTAATAACTGTGCGTTTCTAAGATTCATCAATACTCGTTAATTCAAGGGATTTTTCAAAGTCAGATATGTGCCAATGATTGTCCAAGTCTCATCATTAAACTATAATTACTTTGCAGATTAGTCGTAGGGATGTCCGAAACAAGATGAAAATGATTAAGACTAAATTTTATCCGATATTCAATATTCTTCATTTTTAGGAATGATATCGAATAGTTTTTGAAATAGTTAGTGAAAAATCATCATTTTAAAAAATTGAAGTCTCACATAAATAACTGTAAAAGTATATTAATCATTTTTTTATTTATTTATTTTTTAAATTCAGCTATGACTTGTCTATAATTTTTCTGCATTCTCAATTTCAAACTGATCTAATATAAATTGTTTTCAATGCCGTCTTTGCAAAACATAACTCAATTTTAATATATTCGAAAATACCAATTTCAAATAAATTTGGAATAGTATTATTAGTTTTGGCTAGTGTGATAACTAATCAACCCAATCAATGTTTATTTTTTCATGTAGAAATTTAGACTATAATATGGTAATATGGAATAGTGTAGTTTATTGCGGCATCATATCGATATTCGTGAATGAAGTCTCTACTCTCTCTTAAGTAATTTGAATAAAGTTTCATCCCAAGACATTGATTCACGATGAGGCTTCAGGGAAATGCAGACGATGGATTTTCGAAAGATGGCGATGCGGAAACGGCAATGAAAGGTGAGATCAATATTTTATTTTTCTGTCAATATATTTGTATTTTTCCTAAATTTGATCTAGAAAACAAATTGAATTTTCTGGAATCATTGTTTTTAAAGAATAAGATACAAAAATTTAATACATCCTATTAGATAGACAGTATTTATTGGGCTTGCAAAAGATCTTTGAGTCGTTATTGCTGATCAAATTGGTGCTGTAAAAAACTGCTGTTCTGTTCAACTAATGGACATATTGATTACAAATGTTTAGTACTTAGAGATGAATGAAGTCGCTATAGACAGCTTTCACTTCCGTTACTTTTCCATTCTATCATGATCCATCCATATGGGGCTCAATAGTAAACCACAAATTTTGATGATTTGCTTAGCGTTTCTCTTTTGTTATTTTTAAAACTTTACGACGTACAGCCTGTCAGGAAAATAATGAAAAAAAAACGAAGTCGCTTAATTTACTTTTTAAATAAAAAAATAAACATAACCCGACGGCATAGCTTAATGGTAAATATTATACTGATATCCGATACTCCTGAGAGACCAAATATGGTGATGCTAGTCCACCTGGAAAGTTTGTAAACTGAGATAAACTGTCTCACATGAGATTCGGAAAAATATTGACACAAAATACTAACGTCTGAACTTAGGTAAGGCAAGAATTCAAAATGAATGAATGAGAATGAATTCTACTTCTAAAAATTAAATCTTTTTTTTGCTACAATCATATACCCTAAAAAATAACAAAAACCGTTACTCATTGTAACGTTTTTCGCCAGACCTTTTGATGACAAATCGGTAATCTGCTTTCGGCCAAGTAAGTATTTTTTAAAAGATATGCCCAATGTGAAAATTGTTCTAGTCAAAGTTGGATAATATCACGTAAATCGTTCAAAATCGAAAGCATTGAGCCAAGCTGGCAATTTTCCATGGGCATGTGGATCATGCTAACTTGCTTATCTGTCAAATTATTTACGGTACTTGTTCAAACAAAAATACGGGAGAATTTGTTATTTGCATCCGTTTTAGCAAACCACACTCGTTTTGAATATTGGTATTAAACATCTTTTTTCCCAATAGCAATAGGACATACATAGATAGTTTTTGAATGTCATTTATTTTATTTGGGCAGTTAGTCATACAAATAAAATCAAGTAAACGTTGCACTAACATAGATGTATTCATTTAAAACACGACTTTGGCTCCGATTCCGGATTGAAAACATTTCGACTCCAGCGCTGAACTCAAAGAAAACCATATTTTAATTTTAACATTTAATGTTTAAAATTCCGGCCCTGAAAGTGAGAAATTCTGACTCCGGCTCCGACTCCCCAGCCCTCTGGTGCTTGGTAATAAATATTTTGAGTCCCTTCAAATCGGTGCCGCGAGATGGCGCATTAGAGTGACCTACTTGCAAAATAGTAAAGCAAAGCTCGGATGTAACGTCCAAATTCAAAAGACTAGAGTTAGAATACATGGATCATTTGTATAAACAACATAAATACTAAGGCCTTCAAAAGGGAAAATGATTAAGTGTATCAAATTAGAAATATTTTACTATGATACTATAATCATCGTGATCCAGTCCGTTACGTTCGAACTATAAAATTCAAATCTGTCTATGTCTCTCGAAACTCAAGGTTTTTCTGTATTAATAATTAATGAACTTTCTTGTTGAAAATAACTACTTGAACAAAGTCACTTTGCATGCATTTTTTGAAGTCACAAATACTGGCTTTAATAGGATAACCTTTCACACTACTTTCACACAAAAAAACAACCCGTCTTTAGATGAAGGATTAATGTCACATAGTGTATGTGTAATATCGAATGAGGAGGTTGTTTCCCATTTCGAAAAACAAATCGTGTCTGTTATTTTATAAAGTGTAGTAAAACATTTTTCCGTCTAATTTACTTTTTAAAGTAACCAATTTTAATATTTGTGGTATAAGGTAATGGCAATTAGACCATGCCTCCGGAATGGTAATGAGCCAGGGTATGGAAATTATGTGAGACGACGTTTTAAAGCCTCCCCAATTTGCAATTCAACATCTGCCACATTCGCGTTGAGATTTGAGATATTGATCTTTGCTCTTCTCGCAAAAGATATACGCAAAGCCACAATTATTCTACTTCTTCAGTTAAGGCCAGCATTCGCTAATCAAACTCGCAACAAAGAGAAGCAATTGTAATAACTTTACTATATATTATCAAAACTACTCCTACTTCTGGGAGTTTGTCTCCCCAAAACAAGCGTGAAAAATGTGTGTTACAATTCAGAAAATTTGATCTTTCCATATTAGCGAACCAATCAAACAACAACAAACATTCACGACTCGATATTTCATAGAATATATTGTTACTGTCAATAATTAGACCAATTGACGCATTAATTGAATAAATTTATATTTCAGACAACAAAAATAAATTTGATATTTATATCTCAATATTCATTTACAAAACTCCATTGTAAGCTGCATGTTTCTAACGACAACATGTTAAAAATCCCTGTGCGTTAAGTTGTGTACACATGAACCGTAAAATGGGATTATTGAACATAAACAAAAAGAGAATTTTTAGCTTATCGGCAAAAAGTGAAAGATTATGACCCGCTCACGATTGATCGCTGATCCTCATTGCAACATGGCTGTGGTGAATTTTTCCCTTAATATTTTTTAAATTTATGCCGACCAAAAACGATAAATTGACTTGGACATCCTTTCACCATAAAACTCATTTTCTAACTAAGTTATTCTTTTCTCCAGGGACTGAATCGAAAACAGTGATCGTGTTGTCTGCAATGCTGGCATTCGGGTTTGTGTTGATCGCTTGCTTTTACTGTTTATATCCAAGATCACGAAAAAAGGTAAGGGTGAATCTTATTACATACTTCATATCGTAAAAAACTATTACGTCTTGGGATGTCTCTCGGGTTTTAGATACTGTTTTTTGATAAAACTAAACATTGAGATGATGCGTGTAGTTATCAGAACCCAGACCAGACCAAATTTCATTTTATCAGTAAACAGTGTTTGTTATTTAGTTTATGTGATTTTGAATAGTTTATATATTTTAATTTATATTAAAAATTTTAAAACTCAGTAACTTTTCATTTAACTTTAAATAATTTAAATCAGTGCCTAACAAACAAATTAAAATGTATTCTTATTATTATCTATCAGTTCATTTGAATACTTCAAATTCAAGTCGAATTTTTCAACTTTTGAATAGCTTTATTCATTTTTCATTAGCGTCGATGGGATATAGACAGGAATTGACTACTGCTCCTTCTTATTATGCAGAAACGAATTATACTTAGGCGAGAGAAAATTAAAGCTTTGACGCTCAGTCTGCAACAGCGCTCTTGATGCGAGGTGTTTAATTAGACATAGGGTATCTTGCATAGGCTCGATGACTATTCGTAATGAATGATTTTTTATGTGTTGTTATATCGTCAAGAGTTATGGTCCAACTTCTAAGTTGCGGTGGAGCAAGACGAGTAAGATATTTTAAGTTGATTTTTCTTTTATTGATTGAATCTTGACTTAGCGATGTCAGCTATACGCAATTCTGATTTTTGTTTGTGACAACTCCTACAGTTCCAACATTGGTATAACTTTGTTATTATTTTCTATATGTAATAATTCGATAGTTTTGTTTCTATATATTTTACGTAAACCAAATATAACTTAAACGCGATCAGTAACAACCAAAAGTTGAGTGTATATTCGAGTAAATTTTGAGAACATCTCCGAGACATGGCTTTCTGAGTGTAAAAATCGGAACTGAAGCTTATTCCACAAAGGCATTAAAATACGTTCAGGTTAAAAATCCAAATACGTTGTACTTAACCATAGGTAGCGTACATAAAAAAAGAAAGAGTAAGGGATCGCCATCTTCGCAGATCGGCGAAGAAGGAACGAGGGAGAATTATCCCTTGGATAATTCTGGATAAAGATCATTGGATCACTGGATTCGGCATGAAACTAACGCGTACGAAATATCGGCATTTGCAACATTCCATCTCTGTTTATAAATAGTTCATTTTTTGCACTTTTGGAAATTAAAATTTAGACATACATGCTAGGTTACCTATGCTCGAGACTTTCTCAACTAAAAATTCCAAATCATTTCAAAGTTACTTGCAAATACACGTTATATATTTTTTCAATATAGTATGCTCGATTTTTCAGATTGAGAAAAACGTAGCACGCATGGCGAGGACCATTAATTTTTAATAATTGTCCATACTGTACTTACAAATGGTCTGGGCTGATTGTGATGATTCATAATGATTACATGGACGGCGAAGAAAATTGATTTTGCTGAAGGCTAACGTAATTTATCACCTAATTGAAAATTCATTGAAGAAGTATTTTTTCAAAGGGTGTTAATTTCCGCGGAAAATATCGAGAAAGGAATCGTATAAGGTCAGATACTAGAGGTTAATTTAGTTAACATTTTGTGTCCAGTGAGGAGAAATAGACTTTTGTTTCTTTAATTTCCGCTACAGTGTTTATTATCGATCTTTGAATTATCACATCAAGTAAGTACCAGAGTAGAGAGGTAGAGACGTAGGTTTAAAAACATTGGAAATTGTAAGTATGCAACATTTTTAATAATACACGCCGAAGTAGATAGATACGATGGAAGTAATCAATCGAGAGATAAGTTTCACTACGGTATATACATGAGCTGACCGATGACTCCCGTGCCCTGACCCCCGAATCTTGCTTCGTTTGTTTGTGCTGGTCATCGGTTGGCGTAGATAAATGAAAATTAAATATTTAATAACATGAGATGGCAAAGTCCGAAGAATATACCTTGTAATAAACTTTATACGACTGATGAGCTTTGATATATATGAGTTAAAATGCTTCATTTCAAAATCGCTTTTGTAGTATTCTTTTCAGTTATACTGACTTGTACCCATATATGAGTGTTCCCTTTTAAGTTGGCTTGAACATAGCATTCCTCAAACCTAACGATACTCAAACAGTTTAAACGATGAGAAAATGAGAGTGAAATATCAATATTAAAATAGAGTTGTGGGCATGTTGGACATTGCTGACATATACGATGGACATATACGATTAATCGTCGCGATTTCAACAATCGTATTAAATTCTGGAATTTCTTTCATTGATCAAGATAAACGATTCTCTACGATTACTTTGCCCGTCTCTTTCAATAACTGATTGGTCAAAAGCAATTGTTAAACAATATTTCACATCTCTAGATGATGTTTACCCTATTATTGGGCGCTATTCGATGGAACGAACGTCTAATACACAACGAATCGACATAAGACGCCAAAAATGTTTTTGCATCCATTTTCACGAAGCATAATTAGAAATGTGATTTAATAATTAGAAATCGAATTTAATAACTGAAATCAATCAAAACCCTCGGCCTCAATAAAACCGCAATGAAAAAATAATTTGATTTTCAGTACAAACAACGCGATAAGCCGCTGCGAATGGCCTGGTAATTGCTTGAATTGTTAATCAACTTTTTTAGTTAAAAACTCAAAGAAGTGATAATCTTTCAAACATGGTCCTTGGATGCACTTGAAATCAAATACCTGTCAATTATCATATAATTTAGTTATCAAAGACACTTTGAATTCAAGTTGTTTTGTCACGCTCGCCTTTGTATCTTATTTTTGAGCGTTAAAAATTGGTAACCCAATTTCTCAATTACTCAGCAATCAAACAAGAAATAAAAAAAATGATTAAACTATAAAAGTAACAAGTTTACTTAGAAGTCAAAAACCATCTCGTCCAATGTCTCAATTCAATTATCACGGGTCCGATATAAGCGGTACAATTCCGTCACAAAACGTCGATTTCAATAAAAGGCTGAGCAGAACGATCAAACCGCAACCCTAAAATTAGGCTTACTCAAATCTATATAAGTGGATAACGGCGTTCCCAAATCGGATTTGAAGAATTGTGTGAAGACGAATATACATGCAGAGTTGAGGCCTTCGATACAATAGTAGAGGAAATTTGAAAAGTCGCAATGGATGGGTTTGATATACGAGCGTATGTTAATATTGAAGAGTGGATCAAATGGTTTCGATGGCTTGTGAGTATAAATATTAACCGTGTTTTGGGTTAATTTGATTCCTAAAAATATTTTGAGCAAAACGGTCATTGCTGTTTTTATTTGTACCGGATGTTTTTCAAACTGCAAAGAATTTGTCAGTATAGCTCCGCGGAATGATATTTATTTAGTACTAATGTGTTTAACATGCTATATAAATAAGAAAAGGGTATAATCGTTTTTTAAATATTTCCTTCCTTCTGCTACCATTTATCCTCTTCAAATATGGAATAAATTTGATCTTAATCAATAAAAATATTTGCTATATTTCAATAAATGAGATATTGGTAGGTAATTAGCAAAATTGCCATCTGTGGTGAAATTTACAAAAGCTATAAAACAGTGTAAAATTATACAAAAATATCTTATACATAAAGTGGCTCAATTTGAAAAGTCGACGCAAAGTGACAGTAAAATATACGTCTTCGTAATGATTTATAACATGAACAAGAAGCTGAAGTAAAAACGTGTTAAATTAGTTATTGAATTTCGATATCAACATTACTCAATATAATTGGAACACTTGGTGATTCTTGTTCCAATATTACTTTGTTCTTGATCAAGCTGATCTCATATTTTTTTATATGTGTATTAGCACTATTGTTTTCGTTCAATAATTTGTCTGTATTCAAAAATCGATATACCCAACGCCTCGAAATTGCTTTAACGTGTGATAAGAATTTATATTAGCTACTGACCGCATAAACAACAAAGTGTTGACAGAAATCGGAAGTGTTATTTCGTATAATATGTTTAATTGGGCAGGTGCTTATTAGTAATGTTTGCATTATTATTGAACATGTTTTATGCAAAGATCTCAATTATTCATGTTACATAAAATCTCGGTATATATGAAACATAGCATTATTAGGAACATATGTCAGAAAGACTCAATAGCCAGGCTTCTGTCTTTTAGGAGAAATTAAGAGGATTATTTGTTATTCGATAGGTAATGCTATTTGGCTATACCGGTAATTTTAATCAGCTTTGCTTAGGATATTACCGTTGCACCTTGGGTAAGTTTTTTCAAACAGATTAAAATCAGGAATATTGGAAATATACATAGTTTATTTTAAGAATTAAGAATAAAAAATATGTGAAGAACGATAGATCTATTGTTAAAAGTATCACAAAACGGAACTTTGTTGCAGTTTTCACAATTGCAATCTTTATCTGACACAAATAAAACTTGAAGCTGTCTTCAGTGATTTTTATTAGTTCAAAAAATACTAGCATGTCTTTGTCCTGTCTTTAGATTCGGTAGTGTATTATTTGTATCAATTTATATGCTATGGATTTATTGAAATAACGGGGTTATATTTCAAATATATATATATATAACCATCCTTGTTTGTTTGCTTATAACGAGTTGTCTTCCATGTGGCTCCACCATAAATAGGTTTCTTAACGTCGAAAAATATTTTAAAATTAATTTATCGTTCTGTTCCGACATTAGCTATATCAGCGCTATATATATGAGCGTGGAAACTAATCCAACCCGAAATAATTGTCCAAGAATAATTATTATTAATAGGATTAAAAATTTCCGATGACATGACTCCTCCTTCTATTTCTCATGCGTACATTATTCAATGCAAAATATCATGAGTTTCAAACTTTCGTTTCAGAGTTTTGCTGATGAAGAGGAAGAGTCTCGTAGTTCCGCTTCAGATGAATTACGTAACATAAACAACAGTCAAAGCAAATCATCGAGCATGAACGACACAGGTGGAAGAACAAGAAAAGTCAGTCACTGGACCAAAATTACATCGTTTTTTCAAAATACTTCAGCATCAGGGGAACTGGATTATCGATTAAAAAGTACACACGGGAGCACAAACCAACTAGCCAATTCAAGAAATGGAAACTCAACACCAATGTAGGTTGCATTGTTTGTACAATATTATTGCGTTCAACAATTACACAGTAGGATTGGGAATGTTTTCATCAATATAGAATTAAAAAGGCCAAAAAATGTAAACATGATGAATTAATGAACTATATATTCAAAACAACAAGTTTTATTGTTATCATTTGATATGGAATCTAAAGATTTATCTTTGCGAGGTTTGATTGAGCTAAAACCTATAGTCGAACTTGACTCTCCCTGGTAAAATTAGATTTTGATACTCGATTGGGCAAAACAATACATTAATAAACTTATGTTAGCTAGCTTTCTCACGTACATTTCACTTATAAATGTATCTGATTGGTTTGTAAATCTGGCTTCAATGATGATTCAATTAAATCATGGTAAGCGCTGAAATCTAAAAACGAAGAATATTATGTTTTAGATACCATATACTTAAAAGGATTAGGGTCGAAGCAGAAGGAAGATCTTTGACAGTTTTTGCAATGCGATTTTTAGAGAATTCTCACTGTAGAATCATTTTCTATATCTTATGCTTGGTATGGGCTTTTGGCAACGAAGTACTTCGCATGATTTATTCATTCTAGTTTCGGATCAATTCATGAATATTTATTATGACGGGGTGATCTGCAATACCCAAAAATAGATATTGGAATTTGCTGTATCATGTGGTGTATTCGCTGTCACAAAAATTAATGGCATTTGCTGTGCTTGTGAAGCGATTGGTGCATATGTCGCCGTTTTTAAATAGAAAATTGGCTCGCTCGGAGGTAATTTTTTTTCGAAATATCAACGGAGACCCATAATTAAACATACAATTTTTTCCATGAAGGACAACATACCCACGAGACTATGATTTTTTTCTTGTTACTGAGAATTTATGTCCATGTATTCTTTTGCCTGTGAGTTGTGTTTTACCTATGAAGTCATGTCACTCATTACCGTAGAGATTTCGACATTGTCCATGTACTTTAAAAAGCCAACTTGTCAATACGATTTCACGTCAAATTAAAGTATTTGACCAATTCTCAAATAATTCAAATTGCCTTGCATTTTTCGTTCCCCACGATGGTCCCGTGTGGCCATAATGGTCTTTTTTCAACATTCCATCCCTTTTTGGCAATTTGAATGCATTCCACAATTTATTTTTGAAACCTTGAAGAAAACGGGATTTCGTCATGCATGTTTCAAAAAGGCATTGCAATATGTACTTTACTGTAACATAATATAAGATATAGTGTTGCGGTTATCTTTAAGCACGTCATGAGGGTCCAGAGGGTACGCACAAAGTAATTTACGTTAGGGTCAAACGTTACTCAAGAGTTTCAGTTCAGTTGTTTTAAATAACATAATATATGAACGCACTATTCTTCATATTCAAAATCTTCTCATGCGCTCGTGTAAGCAGATCAAGAATTGATAATATAATAACAAATGATTTTTAAGCAGATTTTCGCCAGTATAGAAATACCAGATCAAAAAGGGAAATCTGGTTAATATTCATTACTTCAAACCAAAAATATAATAGATCACTTTAATTTTATTTTTAATTAACTATTTTTTATTTGCAGGTACGACAAATCTCCAATCGGTGAAATAAGGACATCTTACGTTCAACCACAAGCAAAAGATGGAAATTACAGAACGCAGGGAGCTACGACGCCGGGGAAAAGGAGGAGTAGTTTCATACCTGATTCATTCAAGCTTCCATTCGATCCTTGGGTAAGTTGGGATTTTGGTAGACAGCTTTGAGGAGATTCAATACGAATCAAATCGAAAGCAAAAATTTGTAAATTATGCAGTAACAATAAATCATACACTTGCTGAATTATTTTCTCATTTTGACGTGAGGAAAGTGCATGCAGTCACGGGAAACCATCGGCTTCTAATTCCTAATTTTAGTATACTGGGAATGACACAGTTTCACGCGATACTTAATCTATTGCAAGACTTATTGATAAATAATGTAACACTCAGCTCTACAGTATGAACATTATAATGGGATCCGAAAATGTTGGAAAGTTTGTTTATTTTTTCACAGTTGATAACAGATGATTCAACATCTCCACCACAAGGTGCAGACTACAGAGGTCGACTGGAGTTCAGTGTTGCATATGCCTTCGATACAATGACATTAGTAGTTAAGATATTGAAGGTTTGTGAAAGCTAAAAACTACGTTTAGATTTTTTTATACTACAGAAATAATAGATGAATAGTGACTTACACAAACTTGAAAAAAATTTGAGTCACACTGTCAAGGAAACTAGAACTAGAATATTTTTAAAGCTAATCAAAAATTGGATCATATCTAAAGAATCTTTTGTGTTGTTTCAATCTCTACATTTAAATTGTCCTAACTTGTTTGGAGAAACGTACATGGCTTGATCAAAGTAATGTTTCTTCTTTCTTGGCGCGATATATCAGATACTACATAGTTTATGTTGTTTCTGGACAAACGAAGGACAGACGTTTAAATTGCCAAACTGAGACACGGCGCATCAAAGTTATTCCTTAGTATAGGCTGTTAAAGAAAATTATCGCTTATTTTACAATCGGTCAATAAGTTAAATTGATCTTCGCCAAGAATAGAATGCTTGTACAAAGCCTGTTTCCTTTATGTAGATCATACTAAACGTGCTTAAAGATCATCGTTATAAGTAGGGTTATGCTAAACATTCATTGTTTACCTAATATTCAAATGTGACGCAAAATACAGACGCACAAATTACCAAGCAGACATGACGTGCCAAGGTCAATTAACTCTTTGAACCCTGAAAGCCGCTAAACCGGCTTTCCCGAGAAAGTCTTCTGACGCTGAAAGCCGGTTTAGCGGCTTTAGCATCCCGTAAGAGGTATGCAACTTTGAAACCTCATATCTCGCGAACCATTTATTATATTTAGACAAGTTTTACATCGTGTGGAAGATAATCTACAGGACTAAGTATAATTTTAAAATTGAGATAAAATATTGTGATCATCTTATGAAAATTGGCAAAATTAAAAAGCATAAAAAACTTCTGAAAATTGCTCAAATCTAATTGACAAAACTTAAATTTGTTTTCGATTAAACCTAGTACATTATCGACAAAATTTGTAGAATTTGAAGATAGCTTTCCAGTGATACCATTAGATTGAACTTATGTTGCACCATTCAAATTTTAGAAGCATTTTTATTCGTGATTTTGTTTGTCGCAAGATCGAGGCGACGTCAAGGTGACGTAAATAACGACCTAACACATTTACGCCGTTACGCAGCGACGTTAAGCAATTACGTTGGCACGTAGCACGTTTACGTTTCATACGAGAAACACTTTTCCTCGCATGCTCGTAACGTCATTTACTTAAGTTCGTACTCGTGAAGCGACTTACGACTTGTAAACGATACACGGGGAAATTTACGCATTACATCGGTTCGACTAAAACACACAATACGCAGTGTTATTGCCGTTTTAATTGCATAAAGATATGGAAAATACGAATAGCCAAAATAAGGATTTTTAAAAACAGAATGATGGAACATATCGATGGATGCATTGTTTAGCGCCATTGCTGAGTTTTATTGTGCCATATTTTCTTCTTCCGATAGATGAATACTATCCAATATTTCATCTGGACAAAGCTTTTCGTTTAAAATCCATTGTAAATATAGCGATATCAGGAATGTAGCGTATATGCAGTAATTTCGAAAATCTAATGAGGCTGCAAAATGTAAAACACTGACCAGGTGAGCTACTGGTGCCACCATGTCTTCCGTGTACCCGTTATCAGTTTTTTTTATTCAATCTTCATGATATCCAACGGTGAATAATTAGCCTTGATGTTTCCGGCGTAAATTAAAAATAAAATACCTCATAAATTCATGAGGATCAAATATTTCGTTTTGGCCATTCATTTTCGTCCCATATCCAAATAGTAAACGTATATAAAATGGCCTTTATATTCTAGCAATTTTACTATGTTCGATCAAAATTCGTCTGAAAGGGTTTTATCTGCGGCCGAGGATATGATACTAATGCAATGAAGACACAATCTGCACTCAAGCTGTGAACGACCAGATGTGCTATTGCGCAATATACCTCACGCAAAGAGTTACGCACGATACGTCGCATGAACGTTATCACGACAATGTCGTCGTCGCCCTTTGCGTCCTTACGCAAACTTGGCGTCAAATAGTTGATAAATTTTGTTCGCAAACCATTTGAATCGATAGTACAAATTCTGCAATAAAATGAGTTATGCGTATGTTAAGAAAGTCATACGTATATTCTCCGAAAGGTAATTTTGTATACTTTTCAAAATTGTACTTATATTGATGATACATTTCTAAGAAATGTATTAAATATTACCAAAATACAAAAAAATTGTAGATGGGGCTACAAATAGGCTTACACATCTCATTAAAACATCTCGTGAAAAATAATGCCAGTTAAAAATAAAAGACTAGATAAGCTTTTATATGATATATTACAGACCATCTGATATCTAATGGTTTAGAAGTTATTTTGATTTAAAATTAGGGATATTACAATTTTTTAACGCGTCAAATCGATGCGACGCCGTGGGAGGTCAGGGTGAGAGAGTAGCATCGTTCTGGGGATTCAGAGTTCAAAGAGTTAAACAAACGACGGGACAATGCGACTAGATGTGAATTTTTAATAATTTATCCAAGTAAAAAATTTACTGATAATAAAGGGGGGATAAGCAATATTTTAGGTTAATATAACAAGGCAGTTTTCCATTTTCCCAACAAACTATTCAGAATTTTAAGTTATAAAATTAAGGATGATGCATTGACATGAAAAATTAATCGGAAAGTCTTTGCAACATCTCGGTTTGTTCGCCAATATTTAAACATACATTGTTGAAGAAATAAATATTTATATTTTTATTTGAATAAATTAAAAATTTATAATTTGAAATGACTTTTAACTTTAATATTTGACGTCAGCGCACGACTGAATCGGTAATTAATAAATAAAAAGCGAAAAGGTAACATGAAATGGGATATGGCAGGGAAATTATGCGTTTTAAGTGTCTTAATATTTACAAATATCTTATGTTTGTTTCTAAACACTTCTCATTCAATTTATTTATTCAACATTAAATTCGAATCATCAAAAATTATTTTTGTTTCTTGGGAAGTTACAGTGACATACAATTTTTCGTATTCATAGTTAGATTTCGACTCAAAACCAAGAGTCAGAGAATTGAAGTTAGAACAATCACAACTAAGCGATAAGACAAAAAATGACCGCAAGTTTTTGCACTCACGATTAAGCGTATCTGGTTGTAATATTATTTTTATAGGCAAAGAAAAAATATTTTCGCAAATTTTCTATTTATTGAATTTAAAACAGAATTTTGTTAGATTACTGTCACCAAATACCATTTAAAAATGATACCTTTTTATTTTTATTCAGCATTTCCTCTAGCTATTCATAATATGCATTATCTTTACAGTCAGTAACGATTTATGCTTCAAGTTTTTTCATTGACTTTTCTTGCCTTCCAGTCATGAGTTACCTTTTTATTGACGCGATCTGAGAATTTGAGTTACGAGAAATGACCAAGGTAGTGCATATTGGCTCGAAAGTGTGTTGCGGTCTTATAATTTATGCAAAGCCAGATTGATATACATCTGCACAAAAATCCAAGAAAATATAATCCCCGCCTAGTATCACTTTAAGATTGAACCCGATGTCCCAATATATATACAAATGGGTGTCTTTTTTGGCCCATTTACTATTTTGTTATTCGTGCTGATGTTGGATACTACATTGAAATGCGGCTTCATATCATCATGCGATTTTTTAATATATTTTATCCCAAACGGTGTATTTAGTACCAGAAAATGGAAACCTAACGGTCAACCCCATAATAGCCTGTTGTAGGATAAACTTTACCTATTTTCCTCGTGTTTCAGGCAACCGATCTCCCAGCAATGGATTTGTCTGGATTCAGCGACCCTTTCGTAAAGTGCTGTCTGCTACCTGACAGGAAAAGAAAATTAGAGACGAAAATTCGAAGAAAAACATTGAATCCAAGTTGGAATGAGACTTTATTATTCGAAGGTCGGGATATTTTATAAATATGAATTGAGACTTTGTTAGGTAAAAACTGACCGATTTATTGTAATTTTGATTAAACTCTGCGACACGGGGTAGTACAGGTATCTGTATCTAATCTTCCACAGTAAAGGTACGGAAGCGTCGTCTTTGCGACTTCGGCTGACCACCAGATTGCAACAATCGCGAACGCGGAACCGCCAGAGGGTGCGCAATTTTTATTTTTGTTTAGATAAAGTCATCACACACAAAAAACGAATTCCATAGAGCCCACAAAAAGTTTTGAAATAAATGAAAGTAATAGAGCCTTCTAGCGACAACAGCAATCTTTAACCATTGAGCATTTTATAGCATTACTTGGTCCACTATTTAAAAGAAGCGCTATCTTCTTATAACAAAAAGAAAAAGAATTCTAACAACAACAACAACAACAACATCACAATAGCATAACGATCTTTGAGTCCACTATATGTCCAAAAATGCAATAGGCTATCTCATATTTATTGGTCATGATAATGGACTTTCCCACTGATTTATGAGTTGCATATAGCTTTTAATATATTGATTACTTCAATTTATTCGCCGTGACTCCCAGACTAATTAAACCAACGCTATTTTAGTTGAACTTCAGTTGACATTCGAATAATAGATATAATAAGATAATTGTATTTTCTTCAAAAAGATCAGACGAATCCAATTTATATTGGGGTATTTTGAACGAAATATTGACATTATCTTAATTATTCTTGAATAATCATTGCATTCCATTTGAAATTGGTCTTGATGACGATCGGAGATAGCCTAAATCCAATTACCTTAATTAGAAAAGTTTTTGAGTCGCTGTTATGGCGCCAGTCAAGAATAAAAAATGATAAAATGGTGCTCCTGAAGTACGTGCACTAAGATGGCGCACAACCTGAACATAATATGTGTACCAGTTTAGGGTTATCAGGTTGTGCGCCATCTTGGTGCACATAGTTTTGGAGCGCCGATGGAATAAATAATTTTACTGCGTATACGATGAAATAAACAACTAAATTAGAAATTATTTTCAGCATCAAATTTTGTTATAATTCATTTCAATATTTTTTATTTTTAAAAATATGCGAGACGCTTAGATTTTATTTTCACCAATCCCCAAATTAAAAATTTCTTTCTTAGCGTCATGAAGTTATATTTTACACTGACCAAATAATTAAAAAAAATTTTCATTCATTATTTTTTTTGTTTTTTCACACATTTGTTCGGAATACCTTATTTTTCATTTTATCATAATGAGAATATGCATTTAATCATCTAATTATCTTTTTTTGCATTGTGGCCGTATTGATCCTAAAATACATAATATTTAAAATATTATAACGAGATAAACCGTAGAAAATAGAATAAAGAATTCATAATTAATAATTTCGAATATATCATGCTTTAAGCTTTTTTTATTTTGACTTTATAAATTGAAACTTTAAAATCTTAAAATAAAATATGACTTAGTGTAGAACAACACAATATGTTTTAAATCTCAGGTCTGCGAATTACCCAAACTTTTGTGTAAATACACAACTAATTTTACCAGCTCAAAATCTGGTACTATTTTATGGAAAACTCAATAATGTAATCCATTACCTCATCCCCCAGAGTTCAAAACCAATGTTTTACATTGATGTATCAGAGGGGAATACATTTAATCAATGCAAGGCGAAAATAACAAATGATAATTTATATATATATAACAGGTTGAAGAATTCTTTTTCCATATATTGATAAACAGCTCAGTATTAAATCGTATTTAAAAAATAGAACTATTAATTCATCCTTTAAATGAAGTTATTGTCAAAACGACAAAGTCTGATTATACCCCAAATGATATATATAAGAAGTGCTGCGTACCAGTCTAGATTGGACATATATGCAAAGGAATTTTTTTGGTAGATTTTAAAACACTTTTGGTGTTCAAGTGGTTTTTGTATAGTTCGACTGCAATCAATTTCAATGAATGAATACTGAATAAGTAGTCACTGCAGAAAGTAATATGCCACACTTTAATTTGTAACAGTTCTAGTGAATGTATCTGAATTTACGAGGGAATGTGGCCTCCTGTTTTTTTTATAGATTCAATATAGGTTTAAATGAGGCAATTATATTCCCCATTTGATTACATCAACAAGTTTTATCATAACAAATGTTATGTGAATTATTTGAGTTTTCCAAAATTCAGAATTTTGTGCTTCAATTTTTCCTCGTGTTTTTGTTGCTTGCTGCATTAAAATTTTATGGCGAACTGAGTATATTTTCTTGTAACGCCATATGGAGAAGATTTGAAATTAGGCATTCAATTGTAAAATTTCATAAACAATTGGAAAAATCCAATTTATGTCATTGAAATTTCAAATCCTAAATCTTAGGGATATTGCCGGAAAAACAATACTACCGATACATTTATAGACAAATGACAAGGTCTTACTTCATATTGATATTATTGAGTAAATATATAAATAAAATACTACTTACGACGTTTGTGGGCTGCTGTATTTTGACAGAGCCCACTTTTTTACAAAAAATACACACTGTTTATCAAAAGTACGAAAAATGTCACAAAAATATAAACGCACAATTTAGGTAAACTTATTTTTAGAATTCTATAAGATATAAACTGATTACTCTTGCGCCTTTTCCCCTTGGATCGTTTAACATAAATAAATCGATAAGAAGATGACGTGAGATTAGGTTTATGTAAGTATTTAGCACAGGTTTTGTTTTTCATTTAAAGTGTATATATACACGTGCAGCGTGAAATTTTCCACAAATCATTATCTTTTAGAATTTGTCGCTAGAATCTCAACTTCCATTTTTTACTTTGAACTATCATAATCAATAAAACTTTTTTTTATAGTACTCGATGATATAGATAGATGCTAAAATGAGCAATAGCGGGTACAGGTTGGCACGTTAAGCTGAGACAGCTATGGGAACGTCTCTGTGGTAAAATCTCTGAGTGTGATTCACGCTTTACTTCAATCTCAATCATTATTGCAAAATGTCTGTTTTAGTTTTTTTGACAGTTGGCATACATTCAAAAAGCAGTAGGCTAGCACTTTCATTATATTGATTTTCCAATTTTCATTCAGGTCTTTCATACGATAAAATACAACAACGAGTTCTTTATATGCAAGTCATGGATTGGGATAGATTCTCCAGAAATGATCCGATCGGTGAAGTCTGCATTCCTTTGCACCAGATTGATTTAACAGACAGCACATCACAGTGGGAATACTTGACACCTTGTACTGGATCGGTGAGGTTTACTTTATATAAGATTGCGATTTTTACCAGATTGTGATAAAATATACACTACGCCATTGATTATTTTTATATAAATGTTTCATCCGCTGCTAAAAGCCACTTTTTTCAGAAATGTACTCATCGATCGAATCTGTGCAACATGTTGGTCACTTACGATCGATTTCCATACCAAAGCAAATAGTTCAAGTTTCATGGAAAATGATTTAATTTCACTAATTAAAGACATTTTTGACAGAAAATCAATTCTGTTTTTAGCGCAACGCTAACGTTTTTGAAAAACTGCATTAAAGAGCAGCCGGAACAACTGAAGTTCATTGTGATTGATCTACAGCCCTCTGTGTCAAATATTTTTATAGTGATTTTTAATCCATCGGACTGAAAGAACCGGAGTATTTCGTTCATTCATGCACCTCGAGTTATTAGTGCCCAGTATATTTTTCTGGTACTCCTGGAGTATGTGCACCAAGATGTCGCACAACCTGAACCCTAACCTGGTATACTACCTGAGTTCAGGTTGTGCACCATCTTGGTGCGCATACTTCAGGAGGTCCATTTTGCATAAATGAGTGATTGTTATCTCAGAATTGGGGAAGATGTCAATTAATGACGTCAACGCAAATTCATCGCTCCAAGTCAAAGTCCCCAGGGAGGGGGCGCTCTTATCTGCATTTTTAGTGCTTTGTCATTCACATGGTATAAAATCCAATACTTGTGTTCATGTACTTGGATGAGTTTAACGAAATTCCAAACCATACTTGATTATTGCTTGATGCAGTGTGCACTTCTGCGGAAAAATTGTTACATACTTGCATATAATCTCCGATAAATTTGGCGTTTGGTTGAGCATAGCTTTATATAGATATTGATCGTAGAATATTTACTATTAAAAGCCATCTTTACTTGTTAATGACAAGAAGTCGATAAATATGTAGTGAATGACCGTCTAAAATTCATAATATAATAATAGCAACATATGCGCGATTAAGATCATGACTGCGCTGTATCAAAGGTACTGTCATTGAACTGCACTTGCACATCATTAATTACATTTTTATGATAAATCTTGTTTTCTGTCTACATTCGTGGATGGAAGTGATTAAAAGAGAAAATATACAGTTTTATTTGAATCTGCCACTCGGTTATGTAAATGTCTTCAAATCTTTATGTATATAGCTTTTTTTCTTGTAATTTTAATAGAATAAACGTGGGGAGCTACTTGTATCTCTCTGTTATCATCCAGTTGAAGGTAAAATAGACGTAGAAATCAAACAAGCGAGGAATTTGAAGCCTATGGATATCGGCGGCACTTCCGGTAAGAGAACGATATTTTAGATGAATGAATGAATTAATTTCCAAACAGATAGATTATCTGAGAATGACGCGAAATTTTAATATATGACACGTATATTTCATAGTCGGGCTAGGCATATTCCTCACTTCTTCTATGATGAAGAACAAGTAGGCCTAGCCTTTACCATGTCTATGGTGATTGTACACATTTTTCATCCCCGTCCGCACCTGGTACATGTTCCCAGCATGATTATTCATGGCAAATATGCTCTATAATGAGCATCTGGTTGAACAGCATAACAAGATAATGTACTTAAGTGAATACTAATTAAACACAATATGATAAAAAAGCGATTGAAATATAATAGGACACAAAAAGATGCTTAGAATAAACAGCATCTTTTCAACCCGGGAAAAACGTAGCATTAATCAAACAATAGAAAGTTGTAGGGTGCATCCACATACGAAACTTTAATTAAGACTTCAACCCTATAGACACCGATCCCGAGTGCGTATATTCACTCAAATCGCTTCGACATGCCACCACATATTAGAGAATGGAAAAGCAAGATTCTATAATCATGCGAAAAATATATGAAAACCCTTAAACCTGCATTTCCAAGGGATTCGGCTTTTGAACCTGGCTATCCTGCCCCTCATGGACACAATGACACCGTGGACACAATGCAATCATAGGCGCTTGTTTTCCTCCGTAGATTGGCAACACGAATTTAGTTTTCAAATACGTCAACGCCTTAACAGCCACGCGACAGAAATCCTATATGTTTGGATACGGTTTTTGCTTAGGCTACGATTTATGAAACTAAACACTAAGTATGTAAATTACTTCTCACGTTGAACGTGTAGTTCGAGAGATATTTAGAGATACGGTATATATGAAGATTCACCTTGATCTCATCGTGAGAAGTTCTCCACTCGGTCATCTAGTTTCTATCGTTTCCATCGTTGCATAAATACCATTAGTTGTATACTTTTGCTCTTTTCATTTTTTCCGACTCAATTCCATTTTGAGATTGATTTAGTCGACATTTAAACAAAATTTAATCAGTCACACACAGACTTTATTTAATTGAATTAACACAAACCAGCATTAAGTTCGCGTGAGAGTTCTGTTGGAATCAATAATTTTGGGAATGACGTTAAAAATAAACATATTTCTATAAAGTGATTCCCATGGTTGATCGGCGTCATTGCAAAAACATGAATTAGTTCGAATAATATATTCGTTGCTCAATTCGCTTGTACTATTGGAGTTGTTAGAGGAAGTTGATTCTTATCCCACGCCCATAGGCTTTATATAATAAACGGCACAGGATTTATTCAAATGTAATAATAATATATATGTATCCAATCAGGCATCTATCAAATAAATGTATTCGTGGTTTATGGGTTGTAGTGTCTTGTCTCCGACTCTTGATTACGACCAATTTCCTACTTTCTATTCCTGTTTCCAAGAATCTTGACCTCCAACTATGAGTGAAATTAAATTAGATCTACCCTCCTCCAACTTTTCGGGTTCGGGATAACACTGTTTTTAATGACAATAATGTAGTGTTATCAGGTCTTTGATCGTTGGTTAAAAATTTCGACTGTGACTACCGACTTTGAAGATTTTAAATTTTAAATTTATGAATTTGTCTTCAACTGCAAAGAGTTTGAAAATACGGCTTTGAATCCAATGTAAATACATAAGCCGAGCTCCGATCACACAACCTCAGTCGTGCCGAGACGAGATGTTGTTTTGTAAATGAGTTAACTTCCAAAGCGTTTTTTTAATGTCATGATATCATGTTTTATAGATCCTTACGTTAAAATATGGCTGATGGTTCGAGGCAAAAGAGTTGACAAGCAGAAAACAGCAATTATAAAGAATAATTTGAATCCTAATTTCAATGAAAAATTTGTGTTTGCGTCGCCAATGGATCGACTTCGTGAGATACAACTGGAAATCAGTGTTATGGATCGTGATAAAATCGGCCGCAATGAGACGATAGGAAAGGTTTGTATTATTTTACCTTCTTCCAATAAGGCTGGTCATTTTCGAATTTCCGATGATTTCAGAATCGAATCGCATATTTGTTTTTTCGAATCGAATCTTGGATGGAATGGGAGATATGTAATTGTATGTGATTTTTTACTTTAATAGATCCTACAACACACATAAATTGCTGTGAAAACGTAACTTAACACTCAGACAGTTTGCTGAGTGTTCACCCACAATAAAGAACATGTTTCATCAATAATTAACTCGGAACAATAGAGTCTTATGTCAGAATTGCATTTCAAAACATGGCTTGAATAACAAAAATGAAGAATTCACCTCGATCTTTGTGCCAACAATAAAACAAGCTAGCGACGATTCAAAATTCTAGTCTGAGTCGATTCGAATAAATTATTATTCGATTCCATATGCCCAGGCCTATCTCGGAGCTCTAAGGCTAAGAGGGTTGTAAAGACGATGTGTGAAACTTCAGACATTTCTCAGCTCATATTTTAACGTGGATAAAGCGAATGACCAAACTGTAAATAAGAGAATAAAGTACATTTAGTTTTGATCTGAATTTTTATCTAAAGCTGGTAAATGCCATTTGGATAACAAACGATCCGAAATATAAATTTCTCGTAAATGCGTGATTCGACAATCGAGCCAAATATAATTTTGTTTGGCTCAAATAGGTCTTCTAGTGCTGCGTGTGCAATTTGTTTAACCGATTATAATGGTGTAGTCCGGTAACTTTCGAGTACCTTATTGCTATTTTGTGTTATATCACAAGAATATTAAACTCATAAAACTGGTTTCACCGACGAACATATTTGAATCGACTTCGGATCATCGCCGATACGGGTACTAGACTTATCTTTATGGAGAACCGTGTATTATTTTGAGTATTTTATTGATTTTAGATATATTTGGGGACAAAAAGCAACGCTCTGGAGAAACGACATTGGAAGGAGATGCTGACAAAAATTCGACAGCCTGTTGAACAATGGCATATTCTAAAAGTTTGATGACCAAGCAAATACAAATAACTGAATTCTACACAGATGTATACGCACAGTAGATAACAAAGCAGTCTTTCTTCAAGACAGTCAAACTAACTGTGAAAACGTATTGTACATCACGAAATAGTAGATCTGAATAAAGCACTGTGTTCTGCATATCTTACTACAAGTTATAAAAGTGCGTTGTCCATATTGATGATATAGCGTCGTAGCATGTCCCCCAAAACAACCGAAGGTAGTGACAAACTGCGAACAAATCTATCCATACCTGGTTGCGGAAAATACAACAGTGTCATCTTCTGGTCCATACCAATCTGAGGTAACAATCAATAGCATATCTAATTTTGATTATGTTCATTCTACAATGATTAGCCGATATTTATGGCAGTCAAATTAGAAATTGGAATTATCGTGTATCTTTTGCGACGTATTTTTTGCATTCACAGATTAATAATTTGCATCATATCACTGTCACGACAGAATAAAGAGTAGTGTGGGAAATGCCATGAGGTTTTAAAAAGATATTTGCATTTTTTTCCAATTATTTGAATAATAGTAACAACTGTTAACATTTATAACTAATTTGAATATGCTGAGCAATACTGTTCAACTCATTCGCGTGCCATACTCGAACGTATACGATCCACAGATTCTGTTTGTTTTTTTCGTTGAATTAACCAGCGGAAGGTAATTCGGTTATATTTTTTCTATCGATTCATTTAAAGTTGTAACGTATTGATGCGCCCCGGAAATTTTATTGAATTTTCAATTTGGACTACTTAACTATTCTAAACGAAAAAAAACCTACAAAAATTTCAGTTTCGAAATTTAAAAACTCAAATTGTGTACTGGAAACGGGAAAATGTTTTAAAAAGTCTAATTGGTTTTAGGTTGCCCGAGGTAGACTGATTTAATAAATATTCAAATTGTAAAGAGTGTGTCATCCACCACTGATCAATATTATTTAAATTTAGTCATGGATTCAAATTTGATCAACTGTTTTTTTTTTTTAATTTAATAGTTTGGTACGTCGAGGTTTTTGCTTCCTTATATATATATATGATTACATATTTACTTTACTGTTATCTAAGTTAACTCTTTAAGATTTGCAATTACATTTGTTAGACGTTTTTATAATCGCGGTTCATCATTTGCAGAACTTTAGCAACCCCAGGTCAACGTGAAAATGTATTGCTTATTAGTATTTTATTGATGCTATGTTATACAATAGTATCCGTTCGGGTTTGCGTACTTTTGCTAATGAAATTTAATTTTGTTGCACATTATTATTATTTTTTATTCAATTTGAGAACTTAGTTACCACTTACTTCACGTCGCTTCAACATGTCGTGCAATACACAAAGCAAACATATGTTACGAATGATTTTGGAATGGTATGATAGTATATAGAAACTAGAAGGTCTCAGGATCAGTATCAGTATATTTTGAACTCAAGCATATACAACAGTGGTTGGCAACCTTTTGCTGTTCGTGGGTCAAAAATAAATCTTACATAAGTTTTTCGTGAAGCAAAGTCACGCGCACTCACTCAGACATATAAGTGATTTGTGCCTGAGCAAAGTTACGGGTAATACGCAGGGTAAGCAATGCCTCGAGCATTTTATACTGGTTGGAAGGGGTACTGCAATGGCACAAACAGCTTTTGGGAGATGTGACACCTTGTGTAAGAGAGGTCCACCAATTTATTTATTGATACTTTATTGAGTTCCAGGAAATTCTCTTTCGCAACATCTGTTTTCAATAGGTATGCCAGTTTTGCAATATTCATACGATAATACAAACACGATAATTCACGATGGTTTTTAGAGCAGCGGTATAGACTAATGTTGTCTTGTTACATTCTCGTCTTCTTGTGGAAAAATCGCTACTCTGTTCAACTACAGGATCAAATGCTTCGAAACATTTAGTGGTTAAAGATTGTTGTTGTCGCTAGTAGGCTATTACTTTTCTTATTTTAAAAAGTTCTGTGTACCAAGATGGCGCACAACCTGAACTCAGTTTGTGTACCAAGTTAGGGTTCGGGTTGTGCGACATCTTGGTGCGCATACTTCGGGAGTACCAAAAAATGTTCATATTTTTTCCCTTACATTTGCACTTTTATCAGTAGAGTGCAAAACAAAAATCCAGTTTTGATATCATATCATGAGTATATCGCACAAAAACAAGTAGTTGTGAGCATAACGCCACTGCACTTCAAAGAATTATACCCTTCGCCTCAACTTACTTATTTGCACACGGGTACACTTGTTCAAATCAAGACGCATGGAACAGATTTGATGTGCAAGATCGCATGAGATAAATCAGTGAACTATTTGTTATTTGTGTTACGTACGTGAGAAGTAGCAGCTAATTTGCATGTTGTCCGAATAACTCTATGCTAGGTTCTTTCATTGTGCTTTGGCTTTGAAAATTGCGGGGGTTCTCGGTAACTTGCCCATTGGCGTTTGCATAATATTTCACCCATTTAGAATTGTATTAGGTATAAGCTTATGATCTACAACTTTTATTTCATTTTTAGATAATAATTTGATTGTTATCTAGTGTATTTTCTTAACTAACTCTTTGTGCAAATTATGGCAACCTTTTGTCAGTATTTGGTGGAAGAGCCGTAGTTTTTCTGTTCTAGATTTAGTGTTAACTTGTAGGAACATAGGATTGTATTTTATGCAGAGATAGTTAGGATTTGAAGTCATTAGGTTTGCACTTAATACAAACCAGCATACAAAAATTCAAATACATTTGGGTTCGGTCTTTCCAGAAGTTTATATATATTTCGCAAATTTCGGCATCCTTAAACGCGCACTTCCTCTGTCGGCTACAGCAAATAAAGATTGTTTACTATGATGTTCTAGTTCTTTTCATATATATTCAAAACTATATAAATCATTTTAAATAAAGAAACTTGAAAAGTGGGGCTAATGATCCAAAATAAAGAATTAAGTGCGATCCGAATCCAATACTCGAAAGGTTCGGATTCGGACCGCGGTCCGTCAGTTGACTAACCGGGGCCTATAGGTTTTCAAGTTTCCTGGGAGCTGCGTTCTTACTTTTATAATATTTTAATTTGGTTCTTTCGCATTATACGGTGTAGCTGCTATATCTGTAATGATTTGATTAATGATGGGGCATATCAATGTTGCAAACAATTTTGGCAACTGCGGATGCATAGATGCATAGGAAATTAGTCTTATATACTTGACTTTCCGAGTATTTTATGAAAAAACTTTTGACGTACGTGCGCCATTGAAAACTTTGTATTTAGCATAAACTTTTCTGCACTCCCTTGACTTTCGTCCAATTCTGCAAAGATTTGAAACCAATTGAATTTTCACAGTATGTAGTAATCACATTCAAATACTATTTTTGATTCAGGATTTCAAAACTCTCCGAATATGTGTAAGTCTAAGATCATCGCAATCTAACGTTAGTCTGGTGAAGCTAGCCTACATGAGAAAGAAATTTTCGCGAGGCTAGTCTAACGTAAGCACAGCATATTCTGTGTTCACATCTTTAATAGCGCCTGATAGCCTCGCCTGCAAACAGATGGTTCAGTGCGACCATTTTGTATGGTGCGGTTTGGCACTTAGCCTGAAGGGTCTGTCGACCCATAATCATGGGAAAGCTGTTACTCCATTTTGTTACGTCATAATGCAGGTAAAAACACATGTGTATTATCGTGAAGTGTATTTTTTTAAGTTTAAACAGCTTCTCGAGCCTTCTGTTCATCGTTAAAATGCAAATCAGCCAATTAATCCTTAAAACTCGGTGAAACGTCGCGAATCGGATCAGTTGGCATTGTTGACGAGCCCTGTTATATAGCCAGATAGAGAATTTTTCTTTCCCGTGAATTTAAATTACAAGCTTGTATAAAACAAATGAAAGTTTTTAGATTATTATCAAATTCATCTTATTCTGAGGACTGAAGTGATGTGTCCACACATCCTGATATTACATCGTTTAGTTGACAGGTGTAACAGGTAGGTTAACTAGAAAGTAAAACTCACAATTTTGGCATATAAATAAAATAAAGTCAGCTGCCAAACTGTAATACAGACATTTGTCAAAAAGAATAACATTCTGGATAACCCTAAAAAAACGTTTGCAAGTGAATTACAATAAAGTAGATATATATATACCGGTATATTCACAATAACAAAAATAAATAAACATTAAAAAATCAATTTTTCAGTATCACGGAACACGAGTATTCAACCTGTAAAAACTTCCACATACCATGCAGTACAGTTTGCCACAACTTACACACCAACTATTTTGAGATCAAAAGAAAAATCACTTTATCCGAGTAGCAAAGAAACAAAAGTTTTATCACACCACTACGCAATCTCTGCTATTTTTCTTCAGTCACAGCAAGTCATCGTTCTACCCAACACGACAATTCATCATGTCATTCTGCTCCTTAGTTTTTTCTTCAAATCAAAATTTTTGTCATTTATTGAAATTAGGCTTTGTCATGTTCTTTCTGCAGTTAGGGCAAGCTCTCGTGTTGACAAGACCCATTTCTGAAACACATCTAAAAGGAAAGAGCAAAAAATAACACTGTAATATTAGTTGTAAAATAAAGGGTGGTGCCATCTGCTTGACTCGATGAATAGCTTATGTTGTTGAGAAAAACGGAATTTGAATTGACTCTTTAAGCCGTAATTTGCGTACTCACTTTAGGTGAAAAATGTGTGAACATGGCAACGCTTCCAATTGTTCGTGTTTTTCTGCAATCGGCTTATCACAAGCTCCGCAATATAATTCCATTTCTTCGAGTAACTTATGGTATTTTATTGTGCAGTCACGTGCTTCTTGTAAATTGTTCAGACGTTGTTGCGCCACTGCCAGCTCTCCGTAAATGCTCATGCTTTCCATCTAGCGGAAGATCATAAATATTAAAAATCATCATATATATATCAATGTATCTTGAAAGTAAAGCATCTTAAATTAACTTTATCATTAATATAAAAAACAAACAAAACTAAAATAAATGAGTTTTTGTTGAAGTGTAGATCAATATTTAGTGCTGATGTAATGATCACCATTTAATGAATTTAAAAAGGTGCCAACGTTCATCAATTTGAATACTGTTATATATAGATTAAACATTATTCCGAGCTTTAACGCAGTATATACTATATATAAAATTCGTTACGCCAAGAGAAACGTTGCACTTACGTTTGCCTTAATTTCTTGTGATAGTTTAAGAGCATCGTCATATAGTTGGATCGCCTGTAATGATATAGTATTGAAGTGAGAATTGATTGGACCTCTAGTTTCCATAGTATCAGATATTGCCTGGGAAACTCTATATGAGATTAATTCATTGAAGTTGGAAGACCTAAAGATTGTACATGGCATGGCTATCCAGGCTAACCTAACACAAACGATTCATAACCATATCTGTACTATTTTGTATACTTGAGGTAAAACTATCACGCTGGAATCAAAACTATATATATATATATATATAGAAAAATTGGGGTGTGCTGAACGCATGAGATCATAAAACCATACGAAAGTAATAAATTATATCATTGTTACAAAACCAATTACCTGCTAAAAAACTGTAAATATCAGAATTATATAACATCTAAGAACTTACTGTTCCATAATTTTTAGTCTTTATATGCACTTTGGCTTTGCCAACCAGAACCTTCACTTCACCATAACGATCACCAATTTCTCGCATCATTGAGCCAGCGGATTCATACCTAGGTAATGCGCGTTCTGGATCTTTCCTTGTTCGATGGATGTCAGCAAAACACAACAAACAATAAGCTTGCGAACCTCTGTCACCGCTTTCAATTGCAAACTTCAGAGCTTCCTGACAATAAAATAAAAAATTTATATTGGAAAGAAAAAAGACGTATTAAATTGAAATTGTAGCTTCAACATCATGCGATAAAATTCTTATAATCAGATGTCCACCTCACCAGTGTCATACAGAAAACCCTATAAACATTTAAAAATATTATATTCATCATTCATATATTCATCATTCTAATTGTGGAAGATTGTACTGCAATATATTTTGTTACTTGACCCATTTACAAATATCCTATTCCGACAACTGCGATTTTCCTTGTTTGGAGCGCTTGTCTGTTTTTTGAAGTCGATTGTGTGAATTCTGTTGCAATTGATTTAGTACCTCACTACAGGACATCGCTTCTTCTAATTTTCCGACTTTCCTGTAAGCTTCTCCCAAATGTAGTTGAATGAACGTTCTGTTTCGTGGGCTGTCTTTTTCATCCAAAATTTCTGCCGCCTTCAGAGGAAAAAATGTGGCCTGTAAAAAAATTAATTTTTTTGTCATGCTTTGTAAAACTCTAAATCAGTACTACCTAAAGCAAATGAAACATAAACATCAATCAGTATAATGAAAAAAACAAGATTTTCTATTATTGTCCTATATATATTTTATACATGAAAACTTAGATAGACTTTGTTCATTGAAGATCGTATGAAAAATAGTCATCCAATTTAATAATGTTCACAACAAAGCAATTCATTGATATTAAAATTTACGTCGAATTATCTCCCATTTCATTTTATATCCGTTTTATCCGCATTTCACAATGCATGTATTATATTTAATTTCCCACCTTTTCATAATCTTTCAGGTTGACATAAAAACGCCCAAGAGCACAACAAGACATGCATTCCAAATCGGTGTTTTGTTGAGAACTTGCCAAACTCAAAGATCTTTCTAGATCTTCTAAAGCTTTTCTGTGGTTTCCTAAACGAAGTTGTGCACTTCCTCTGCATAGATGGATTTCTCCTGTTATTCGTAACGTTACTTCGCTGTTGGCTCCTCTACATTTGGCAATGAATGTCAGACTTTTCAAGCAATAATCGACGCTTTTTGAAAATTCTGAAAGCCATAAATTGGCCCTGAGAAAATGAAATGATTGCTGAATGCTATTCTCAGTCTGAAGGGCAAAGAAAGATCACTAAATTTAAGAGAAAAAATACAAATTTAATGTCATGTCTTATAAAATGACTTATATAGTATTTTGCTTTTGATGAGTTGAAAAAAAAAATGCGACATATTTCACCAATTGAAAACCTGATAAAAATAAGGTACCCAAAATCCTATACACACACACATATATATATATATATATGAATATACACTCTCAACATCGTTTTAAATAAATGAATTTATAGGAAAAATACACGACTATGGTGTCAAATTACTGAGTTCATTCTATTGGTGATTCTATGATTATTGATTATAATTATTTGTTATATTGAAGTAATTATTCATCCAAAGCAAATTAGTCTAAATAACTGAAATCCGAAAATCCGGTAAACACCTAACATTGCTAGTAGAAGAGTTTCTGTATATAGTTTCTTATTATGAAAAGTATAGTAGGCTATATAAATATATCGGAGTTTCAAAACCAATTGTTTGCAGTTGACACTAACAGACTACGCAATATGACTATAGACGCGAATTCAAACAGAGTTGATATTTTCTAAACGAAGAAGTAGTTTCGTTCATCCTACTGGATACCAGTTTTGGTTTACCTGGCGACGAAACCACTGTTATATAGGCATATTACTCGAATGAATACGTTCTACTTACCTTGCTAAATTCAAATACGAATCAGCAAGAGTAGTATTGATGCTTACGAGTGATTCTCCACCCATAAAGTCCGACTGAATACATTTTGTTTTAATAGCTTGAGCTATTTCGATTTGTTTGACCGATATTTCCAACATTATTCTGTATCTTCCCCATCCTTCTACAGTTCTGATTGCATATCCAAGCACGTTCCATCTTTCTTTTGGATTGCGAACTTTTCTGCAAATGTCTTTCAGCCAATGTTTTGCTGCTGTCCCATCTCCATCATCGATCAGATTTTTCAATTCTTCTTTGTACTGTTTTTCTAATTTTGCATCATTCGGACTTCGACTCTGATGACCGTTATTCTGCCCCATATCTATATTGGGATCTATTTTTATTTTTGCTAGAATTGAATTAAATGAATTTGTTTTATAAAGACCGAAATTCCGGTAAATTGTGAATATAAAAGCTGCATCGAATGTGCTATTTGAAATTTGAACGGAATTTCCATTGGAAAGCTGTACATACTGTAGCTGCACTATACTGTACACGCAAATCACAAATCTCGTTTCAAACTGCTTTTTATGAGCTACAAACACCCTTTTCCATAACATTTTAGCTATTGTAGATTTCTTAAGCATTGCTCGATTTTACTCGTATTTTAGAAATCCATATACGATTTGCTAATAATTTCATCTGTTTGTCAAATGTTTTATAAAGCTGTCATTGTACTAGCCGTAAATAAAAAATATTTACCGGTAACTGGTGCTTACGAACAGCGGTTTAACTCCAACTATGACTAATAAACGCACACGTACTTCAGTCAAACGGAATTTCTACTTGAAGGTATCCTATATAAATTGTCGTCACTCTGAGTTTATTCCGCAACCATACTCCCGAGAGATTTAGCCAGTATAGCGGTAGCTCAAAGACAGACAAGAAATATTGTTCGACACTGTTCGTGTTTCTGCTTCGAAGTGAAATGCGGCCGTGACCCATTATTAATAATGTTAATACCAAAACGATTTCAGATCCATTAACACCTTGGTAATGACATTCCATGGCGTCAGTAGATTGCATAAGGCGTCATGGAGGAAGGAAATGTTTCAAAGAAATGTTGTGAACTGTTTCGTTTCATGTAAGAAAGCAAGTATGAGAAATTGAGAGTATTCGAACTTTTCAACTTGAAGGATAAAAGCTCCAAGAATGTATCCTTTGTTGACACCAACCTTATTGAAGATAAATTTGAAGCTAATATTGATATTAATATCACCGACTCGGAGTCGAGAAAAACCTAATATCTATTCACTGTTTCTGCAATTCCGTGTTCATTTATAACGAGTATCTTTCGTTAAATATCATTCACTGGTGAAAAACATCAATATTTAAATAAAATAAACATAAAAATTAAAAACTAAATAAGGAATACTATCAGCATGGGTGCTATTCGCAATATATTACTATGCCTTCCATTGCGCCCATCGAATATTAAACAACCAAACTAACTATTTATCACTTTTTGCAAAAGCTTGTTCCTTGACTTATCAACTGTTTCCGATATTCTGCAGCTAACTCATGCTTTCCTGTCAACGTTTATCCCTCGTAGGTTGTATCCCTAAGCGGAGAATGTCTTTATTTACCAATTACATCATATACATTCTTACTATCCAAATATTTTCATGACGTCATACTAAATTGTTCAGTCGCCAGGGGTATTGAAGTTCATAAATGATGAAACATTATTGAACATGTTTTCAGTTTCTAATGGTTTAATGGGGTTTAGATAAGTGTCAAACACTTTTGAAGGATGAAGAGCTCTATCGCCGAAAACAAATCTGTTTTATGTCAAAGTATATTAAGTAATATTTAACGCATCCCACGTTTGTTTATGAAGATTCAAATTATCAAGTGTGCTATTAAAAAATGTTATCAAGTGATGATTGTAAGATATTCTGGTTTGTGGTATTCTGGTTCTTCCATCATTATGAACACTTATGTAAGTCACTTAATTTTCAAGATTGAATAACGAGATTTTGAAATTTCAAATGGGATATTTTTAATAGGTTTATTCACAAACAATTGTTATTTTGATAAATATTATATTTTTGATTATCCTGGGTATTCATTAAACACGACTCCAAATTAGTTCAAAATATTACAAAGAAAAATGCTTATTCATTCAATATTTTTACAGACTCCCCGGAAAAATATAATATATATACAACTTCAAATGCAGCCGTATATAACGCCATTTTCATTTCATATATAAAGCCTAAAGTCCAAACTACCAGAAACACAATATTTCGCAGTGACCTTGCAAATGTCGAACTTGGCACACGACAGCAAAAATGCAAGAAAAAACTAAAAATAGTTAGGTATTTTAGAAGGCACTAGAAGGTCAAGCAAAAAAACCACAGATGTTGCAAAATACTACATAAACATATCACTAACAATCATATAAATTACACTCAGAATCAAAGTTTCAATTGGATCAAAAGTGCTTAGAGTCAGTGTTTTCAATTGAAAAAGTTTTGAAATATTTTTTCCGAGCTTCTCATTCACTTGTAATTATTCAATATTTAGGTTGTGTGCGCTGGAGGCATTCCGACAGTAAAGAGAGTTGACAATAGGAAGAACAGTATAAAGAAGACGAGACAAAATCTGAAAATATATTTCAAGAAGTTTGAATCATTTGTCAAAACCAATAATTTTTTTCCAATCTGCATAATCCTATTCAATTTAAAAAAAGTAGACATGTTTTATCCTGAAAAAGATTTTTGTAATTTACCTGTCCATAACACGGGCTGCAAATCTCCATTTTACAGCGACAACATCGTCTTCTTCCTCGTCTTTCATGCTTTGTACAATGTCATGCAAGTCTCCACACATTTTGGTTATTTGTCTGAATGAAAAAATAATGAATCATTTTGTCATTGTAAACGTTTCACTGATTCCATAACCGTATCATGGTTAAGTTTCATTCTGATTTACATACCGTCATCCTATGCCATGTGGATTGCTACGTGGTGCTAACTAGCAGTATAGTATTGAATTTGAATCTCATCACCGTAAATTTTACGGCAGTTAATTGATTATATTCACATAGTAAATGAAGATCTGTAATTTGTCTAAATAATACCTAAACTTAAATTGAACAGAAGAAAACAATAGAGCAATGCTCAAATACATTTGCACCGAGGCCGAAACGAAGTAGTAACAAATCATTTACAGTACCGGTAGTCTGACCACCAGATTGTTGAATGCAATCACCGAACCACGACTAGGTGTGTAATTTTTAATTTTGATGAGGTCATCACACACAAAAAAGAATACTAACAACAGCACAGATAATAAAACGACTCAGAGGTTCAATTCGTATTCAAAAATGCACAAACAATGTTGGATTCATTTCTTGAGACGATGTCTATTCACAAGTTCAATTGACCGATAGATATGATTATTATAATCTATAAAACATTTTCAGCGATTTCGCAGTAAATACCGACGTCTCAACCAATGCTCTTTTTCATTTAACTAAATGTAGATTATTCAAAGATTCAATTTTGTTAACTTCTATTTTATTGAGAGTGTCGAATGTCTGTCAACGCTTTCGAAATTGAACGTCACAACAAAACAGATTTTGAGATTCATAATATTTTGAAAATGAATCTGTTGATTAACAGGCCACCATGAAATTGAAAGTGATGTTATCACTTACTTTTCCGAATGCCTCAGCTGCATCGCCAGCACTGTGTTCGGATCCTTGTTTTGCTGAAAATCATTTTGAAAACTACCAAGCCTTTCGCCCACCTGCGATTTTACATATAAACAAATACTGTAAGACATATTCACCAACCTCAATAAGTGAACAGAACTTTTTGTGACCTGATTTTTCCTTTTATGTTTGACTTATGTTGTAGAAAGGTTATCAAAAATATGTCGAAGTATGAATATGATTGAACATAACACAGATTTATTACGCTTACGAAAATTATCATTAAATGTCACTTTAGGAATTAATTATTTCATAACACCTTTCTGCCATTGTAATGAACTATATCACCACTAGATTAAGGTTTAAGGGTAAAAATTGTGAGGAAAAATTCTTGTTTCAAGACATCTGGAATTAATTAAATCGTGACTAATGTGACTCATTATGTAAAGAGATTACATTTGAGGTTAGGCCGATGTAATAGGCATGAAAATGATGCATAATCAGCTACCGGAATTATGTAAACATGATCACTGATATGGTGAAAAACACAAAAAATAAACCAAAATATTAAGGGAAAATTTCATTAAAAAGTTAATTACGAACGATATTTCCGTGTTCTATGTTTACCTCCCACCCATCGTTGAGTCGTATACTTTATAAAATTTTATACACAACTCTTGGCTTAGCAGGTCAGTCCTTTTTCCAGTTATATTAAATGAAAAGTTAAAAACATGATAACACACGCCCTGCCATATAAATATAATAGTTTTATTTTGCTAACCTTCATCAATGGGAGTTCATCAGTCCCGTTCCCCACTTTTTCCACTGTGTCATTTTGCGTTTTTGTTTTAGGTGGAATTCTCATCAGTAAAATTTTTGGTAAAAATTCTAAGAACACGAGTTCGATCTGAATACCAAAAAAAAATATTCATCAGTATCTGTATTTTATCTTGTAATATTTACACTGAAATAGTAAGCTATTGAAATCTTTTCGTTTCAGCAAAGCGTGTATTATATATATACACACTTATGGCTATGGATGCAAATTTATACTATTAATTCAGCTAATTCATTGCAACAAGTAAAGTGGCTATACTGTATAATACAGCCGCATAAAAAACCCAACATCCTCTGAAAAAAATATCAAAAAAAAAAAGTTTAAACACAAAGACAGCTATTAAATAGATTAACAACTTTTTGTTTTACAACCTACCCAAACTGGCATTCCCTCGCTTGTAGCTGGACTCGTATGGTGTAAGTTCATGGATAAAACACTCGTGACAACTGACAGTGTTACCATTATAACACTGAAGAGAAAATATCTTCCTGTGGAAAAATAAGAAGTGAGAATGTTAGATGAGTAGTATATAACAAAGACTATTTTTAAAGATTTTTTTATTCAATTAGAGAAGAAGGGAAAGCAGTTTATTCCCGGAACACCTTATTGAAACACCTCAATTAATTCAGTAATCTAACTATTTGTTCTTCCGCAGTGAAGCAAAATAATTTATTTTCACTCCGCAGAATATAATGTCATATATATATATAAATAAGCAGCAGTAACTGACCCAAATACCAGCAGAATAGTAAACTCATACCCAGTAAAGGAATTTCTCCGGTAGGTGGCATGTTATCCGCTACGATTTGTAAAAACACGACCATTGCTAGTAATACGGTGATACCTGTTATAAGTGTTATATAATTGATTAATTATCATTAGTAACATTGCGATCGTAGAAAATATTAATTAAATTAGCTCTGTACACTGAAAAAGACATGATAAGCAACATTCAATGAGATCATTGCGTCTTCATTTAGTCCAGTAACATCGGTTGTAGAATCGCTCTTAAATAACTGAATTTACAAAAAAATTTGTATAACGTAGTTTTAAAGTATTATCAACAATATATCACGTGTTTCTTTAATACTAACCCAAAGTCATTCTTTCACCAGAGTCTGCCGGTAATATGAATATGAGAATTGTCAGAGAGCACACAAGCACACAGGGGAGAATAAGGTTTATTATGTAAAACATAGATCTTCGGCGCATTCTGACGGTAAATGTTGCATCAACAAATGGATCTGGACAGCACTCGTATTTGACTTTGCTGCGGACGCCTGTCATATCTAAAATAAAAATGCTTCATGAAACTGAAGCGAATCAACCGGTAGCGCACACCACTTCCTCGTGTATTGTTATTGTACGTACACGATTACTTATTAGGAATATTTCCTCTGACAATAAAATGATATTTTATATTTTGATTTAGCTCTTTTGATCGTAAGATTAAGAATGAACTTATCCAGCGGGTGAATTTTTTTACAACTCAGTCTTTAATATATTGTGTATAACAAGAAGACAATATTGGCCTATACGCTTGGCAGACAGATGTGGATTTGTTTCTCACTTTGAAGATTTGTGGGATGAAGTCACCAAAATTAAAAATTGGGCACCGTGTGGCGGTAGCGAAGATGACTTGTTGTGGTCGGAAGACAACGGCGTACTAACCCAATTAACAACACAAAAAGTGACAAATGCGGGCATGGAGAGTATCGGTTTAGCAATATCAAACCAGGATCTTCACACTGAAACCGGTCTGAATTACTTATAAATTAACTTACTAACAAAATCCCATTCACTGCTGTTGTAATACGACGAATTATCTGCTAATCCATCGTAGAGGAGATTCAAGTCAATCTAAAGTAAACAACACAATACTGTACATTTTAGAGTTGTAATTTTTTAGAAAATTGAAGAACAAAAAAATTATTGTTTATTTAAAAAAGTACACAGGAAAAGCGCTGAATGACATCAGTTAGATCATGACATCACTCAGTAAAAATTTTGGTAGTTATGTTTGTTTCTCAAAATAATATTCACAGGTTCTAGAACTGCCTTTATAAAGATTTGTTTTTATACAGATTACTTTTGAAATTACTTTAAGCAATGCAAATATATATACAGCATATGAGTTGCATGATACATATAATCACTGACAGGAAAAGTTGAAAAATCGGAAAAAAAACGTGAAAGCATAAAGAAGCGAAATTATTTGAATACAGGAACAACTGAATTAATAAAATTCTAATTAATGGAATATAAAAGAAAACAATACCAACCAAATTTCCATGATGAGTCCATGCTCCAAACTTGATATCACAACTTTGCTCATCAAAAGGGAAATTTTGTATGTCAACATCACATGTTGTCTTGAATATTCCTGGTGGTAACCATTCAACAACACCATTTTCGTATATGATGACGTTGGTGTGCTTCAATTGGTCAAATGAATCTGCAGCACTGAAATTTTTATTTTTGCGAACTTTTTATTATGCCTATTCATCAAATTCATATGCTGCAATCACAGCAACTTTGAATTACGTAAAAAAGAAAATTTAGTAGTAATTATATTATTCAATTTGTACCTGTTGTAAACTAATATATCTGGCTTCCAAACCATTTTGGAAGGCAATCTAATAGATGTAATGTTCGCATGTTCTTTTGAATCCCATTTTAGTTGTACATCATTCCATGCCTGAAAATAAAAAAAACTAAACTTTTTTGTTTGCATAATGTGCTGTTCAATGAGATGTCTAGATTCAATATCGTTAAACAGACTCAAAATTTTGACGTCACCAATAGATTGTGATTTAATCTTGTTGACAAAAACAATACTTACACATGTCATGTAAATGCTCGTAGTCAGCAGTTGATTCTTTTCATCCTGCAAAATTATAACAATCGATATCATACAGTGTTTACTAACGGGAGAAACGCATGCACAAACTCCGTTTCATTAAAGATAGGCATACTATACCAGGTCAATGATTTGTTGTATAGCCAAAGAAAAGTTGACCATTACGACATCGTCGTAATTTTCAACAGGTCGAACGGTCGGGTTATAATTCTTCATGAGGTGTGCTACCAGTTTCGTTTCTGGAAGAGTTACTAATGGATTTGCTGAACATCCAGGAACTGAAAAATATATTTTGGAGTTATTGCCCTGTTTTCCGCCGTATTAAATAATTTAGCAACGTTGCCACTCAACATTCAGAAATTCTCGTTAAACATAAAATCACCACGCACTTATTGGTTATTTCGTCGACTGAAAATGGAAGAGAAAAATATTGGAAATAAGATATTACCAAATTATCATATGTCTATACACAATCACTATGTAATAAAATATTGTCCAAAAAGTACTTTATTGACTGTTTTTTTTTTACGCTTCATTTCGATTTTAGCTTCACATTAATTCTTCCTTCAATGTAGTCTGAATATGATTGTCCAATGTTCATCGAGTCCCCTCCCTATCTATCTGATATGGTACAATCGCGTTAATTGTGAATGTTGGCACCTCCCGCATAGCTATAATGACTGGAAAAAATTAGCATTGCAATATTTCGAGGAAAGCATCTAATCCTAAAGAAACACCAGTTATCACACCTTGCTGAAATAAGTCTTGTCACACTAAGGATTTGTGTGTAAACTAAACAATAACTCAACTTGTTATTATCTAACAAGAACAGTGATGCTTTTCGAATAAAGTGATTTGATATAAGAAAAGTATTCATCGCATGACTAGCGCCGTTATGTTGTCATAGACTAATTTAGGTTAAGAATAATACTAGGAATATTTAAAATGATAAAATATTAACGTTATTTGTGAACGACGTCCGGTCAAAACAAGTTGTCACTAATCATCGTTTAGACGGAACACAATAACGAGGTTTTTGGATATTTGGTGTTTCAATAAGTAAAAAGAAGAAGATCATATGCATCCACTTTTTTAAATTAGGCATCCCTGTAGTATTAGCAATGGGGAGGCTATGTTGGGCAGTTGATAAAAAACTTTGCGCACCATTTGCATGCTATAATTGCTCCAAAAACTTTTTATATAGGATTTACAAATAACACAAAAAATATTCAAATCTACAAAACTAACAAAGTAGACGTACTCAAATTTACAATCCGCATGTGTATAAAAATTCATCTATGAATGGCTAATATTTCAATCAAACAACGAAATTCAAAACAAAGTTCGAAATTCAGCGTCATCAACGCATCATGTTATTATCTTGACCACCAGCTGACCATCTATAAAACAACTTCACGTTTTGATTGTCTGCTAATGAATATAGCTTTTACAAACAATTTACCTTTTGTCAATTGTTAGGATATTTCAACAAAGTATCACAAAATCATTTGAAAGTGCTCTGGCATAAACAGAATTGAAAACATCAAAGACACTAAAAAATCTTTAAAAATCGTAATTATAACATGGTATGTCTTGAATAGGTGAATTTTATTTTTAAATTATGATTTATTGATCCTGTTATATATAATATACGACATTAGAAACGTTAACGATTAGCCTAAAGCTCATATTTCAGTATCAGGTTGTCATGAATTCTACTACTCGGAATAATTTTTTATAGTTGTGTTACTTATCCTTCTTGAGTCTGTAATTAAGCGCAGAGAAAAAATCACCTGCTCTATGCACTTCTGTTAGTAAATTTGGAGAAATGTTTTCGATCATAGGATCTCTGGCGTTATTACTGGTCAAAGGTTCAAAGTTCATATAAAAAAATCTGACCCCACAATCTAGACGAGGCATAATTCCAAGACCTATGGCTTTCCTCAACAATATCGAAAGTAAACAAAATGTACATTCGAGAAATATGAAGTCATAAATTGCCTAATTAACATTTTCCGCTTGTAATAAAAGACGAGATTTATCATATCCATTTCCCCTGAAGCATCTTCTACTGTTCGGAATCGTAGATCTTCGAAAAGGCATTGTTTTATTATTGGCCATACATGAATCATAAATAAATATAGTTCAACTATGTATGTGGTGAATTAAAAGTGATCTCACTGTTATCGTTTTTTTATTTATTTTTTTATTTTTTATTTAACTTTGTGTGATCCATACATTTTTTTAAGTTAAGTTAAAAACTTTTTACATAGAAGTTTTATTATTAGATTGTCATCATTTGGTATTCATAAAGTTTTGACTAAATTAGGGCTAAATAGAGATTTTTCCTAATAAGCGAAGATCCATTTATTTATAAACTGAAACAGAATCAAAACCGCAAACTCTGACGACAATAAACATTTTTTAATGTAATTGAATATCAAGAATTTTAAGGTTTTCACGAGCGGTGATATCCTTTATCCATTGAACCTATTGACAAACTAGACCCAATTAACAAAGCATGTCATTGAAACGATATAGTCCCACCCTTTTTGTGTTGTAGTGATTAAAGTATTGTAACAATGAAATAAACTACAATGTATGCTCACAGGTCAGAAACAATAAAGAACACAATAGCAATTATCGTCAAATATCGAATATACTCAGTATGAATATGTAACTCTGATGTAGTATATTTAAAAGTTTGGTGGGAGTTTTTTCACAATTCAGTTCCACATTTACCAAACTCTGGCGCGGTGCAGATAAATTAATAATTTTACTCCAGCTGAAGTTGTGAGAATCGGCATGTTTGTTCACTTCTCTTCAGATAAGCACAGTCACATCTGGGTTATTTTTTCTACATTCAAGGTATCTCTTATCACAAAATGGATTAAAATTCGGAGATTTATTTAGTTCAAATCTGACTCATTCAAAGTTTAACAGATTCTGTAATTTTATGTAAACAACAATGCGTAACACAGGTGCTGGCGGTTAATTTATCTTTTTCATCGCGATATGCTAATTTTCGTTCTTGCTTAACAATAAATGGGTTGTCAAAAACAATATCCAGCCTGACACAGGGTAATTGATTTTAGACATTTCGAACTTGTGAACCACTCTCTGAGTACATAATAATATGAAATGTAGTAAATTTACTAAAATATGGGCGTAATATTACAAGTGATACTAAGCTAGTACTACTGTAGGATTCATCACCCATAACTGCTTACTTTAACAAAGTTATCAAAACACAATCACAGGAAAATAGATAAAATGATAATATTTCATATCGTTCATTTTGGGCATCAGACAACACTGAATATCACGCATGAATGTACTTACTCCACTGTAATTATCAAGATTTCGAATAAAGGTCTACTAAGTTAGTAAATGTAAATATGCACAGTAAAATTTTAAACTGTGATGAAAATTTAAACCCACAACAATATGGCAGCAATTAATTTTGTCAATTTGGAAAGTATCAAACTGACCTATTATTACGCTTATTACGTATTTTCTTTCATATTTTCAAACAAATACATGAGGTATCTTACTTGATAATTCTATTTTGTGTTATTAGGAAGTTATAGGTATCATTAGTGAATCTTCACCTGTTACAAAGTTTGAAATATTTGACGATTGAAATGCACAAGAAAAATAACATAAGTTCTAATTTTCAATGCGATAAAAATGAATTTGAAAAATAGGCTAGGTTTTACTGAACTCACCACTGGTAAATACAAATAGAACAAACGCAATTGCCGGAACCATCTTCATGATCTTTTTGTTTATCTCCTTGTTCTTTAAACCAGACCTCAAACTCTGTCTTCTCTTTAACGGGTTAGCTTCACGAATATGTCCCCCGGAGAAGTATTGAATGATTTATAGACTTGATAAACCGCAATACGTTGATCATACGGAATGATCTACTTGCGACACCTAACGACAGACATAAAATAAATAAATTTACAATTTCGGAAATTATGTTCTTAAAAAAAATATACTCAAGTATTATGGCAATTAAATCATGCATTCTCAATTATCGCAATAACCTACGAATGAAAATTTAAATTCACCTCTATCTATATATTTAAAAATCGCTTTAAAAAATGCTACTTCCACACATATGTCGAGTCTGGATCTATTCATTATTATCTTTCAATGATAATCCGTACTTGTTGTTGAAGTTGACAACTCAATATTGTCCACGTGAATTATCACCAGAAAACTGACTAATCCATTGATTGAAACATGGTGAATGAATCTTCAGACGACAAATAATGGCGAGATTAAGGAATAAATATTACCTATAATATATGTTTGACCTTGCATCCAGTGGCGGCGCGTGGTCATTTTGACAACCGGGGCAAGCTACTGCGGGACCAAGTCACCCCCATCTACGGGGACAGGATGAGCGCTGTAAGTTCTCCCATCATTTTATGAGTATAAAAATCATTCCATCGGTAACAACCAATCGGCAAAAGCGACAATTTTTAACGATAAAAAAGTGTCTTTAAAACCGGTCCAAGTCAAGGGATTAATAAATATAGACACAGTTTGTTTTGAAACCTCTTTCAAAAGGAAAGGCAATATTTACCCAGATAAATACAATGACATATTAACAGAAACTTCGGGAAAGCAGACAAAACCTAAAATAAGGTTTAAAACGTTACTATGAAGAAAGGAAAGTTAATGCAAAGATAAGAACATGCGTCGCTCACTCGTAGATATATATGCTGCGAGACTTCTACTGCTTGAACATATATGCAACACGCCGCGGTTTCTTGGAAGCAAAATGCTCGCTGAATGTTCATGCTGAATGTTCGCTCTGCGTCGGCGGAAGAAATAGGCGTCGTCAAAATGATGTCCAGAAATTTTGCAGACGCTGCAAAGGTAGTTACTAGAGTGTTATCTATGAGGAACCCATAGAGCGCGCAAGTTGATGTGATGTTCAAAAAAGTTTGATTGGTGTATATACATCGCAATTCATTTTCCAATTTACCCACGTTTATCATGGGGTAAAATTTGGAGACAGTAGCCAACAAATGGATGGGAAATTGACGTGCAAATTTTGGAAAATTTTTGGGGTTCATCAAAGAGAACGCGGCAAGGTGTTCAGTGCGCAGACGATCGCCTATTTGATTCACCAGAATGTCACAGCATTCCTTTGCAGACAAAATCAAACGCTGCGTTGTTTGCCCTCGGCCTAAAGAAGCACTCCATGTGTCGTCGTATTTTATTGTTTCCCGGATACGAGATACAGCATCGCAGTAGTCTGAAATACACGACTTCACAGACGCTCCATCCATTAGCCTTGACCGCAATGCGCCGTATAATACATCCACGTGATAGAATACTGTGGAGAATAAAGCGAGAAAAATGAAAACTCACCATCTTCTAGCAGACGCTTTAGACCTGCCGCCTCCCTCACAGAGCGTTCGTCCCAAACCGGAGAGCTCTGAATGCCATTGAAACACTCAATGAGCTCAGACCTAATTTCGGACACGCCCTGCACCACGCGGGATTGGAAGTTCCAACGTGTTGGTGCACAAGCTGGGAGACGGCGGCTACATATCTGGCAAAGGAGGTCAGAGCGCTTCGGCAAAACGAAAAAAAAAATGAAGAAAACCCCGAAACATTTGCAAAAAATATACGGACGTTAGGGGTATCAAGACACATATTTTTAATAACGAGGTTCAATTGGTGTGCATAACAATGTAAAAAATGCGCATGAGGAAAATCTTCTTTTATATAAACTTGAACACCACGACCCCCTCATGACTGCCGCGCCGTCATAAGTTTGAGCTATCAATTTTGACTTGGCGTTGTAAGGCCGTAACACTTCTTTCAGTACAGCCGATATCCCGCAAGCCGTGCGATCAACGATTGGTACAAAGCTGTGAAATCTCTCGGTAGGTTTACCATCTTTCACAAACCGAAAAATCACAGCCAGTTGGGAAACGCACGTGATGTCAGTTGTCTCGTCAGACTGAATCGAAAGGAACTGGCAATTCTCAATTTCCAGAGCCAAATGTTGTAAATAAATTTTATACATTGAGTCGAGCAAATCATTTTGGATATCCTTAGATGTCCCTTTCGAAACAGTTGCGGCATCAAGATGATCTCTCAATACTGTATCTATGGATGCGGTGTATTCCACCATATCCAAAAATACCCCTCTATTAGAAGAGCCAGCCCGTTCATCGTGCCCACGGAGGGACAGCTCGTGACAACCAATGAACTTCAAAACATCTATCAATCGACCGAGAACATGGCGGTTTTTCTCGACGTTTTGGTTGTGCCGACGAATAGAAACCGCGCGTCCTTCATCCAACTGTGCTGCAATATTAACATTTCCGAATGTTCGGTATTTTACTGCATTGTCCAGATGCTCCATAGAAGATTGATGATCCCTGGCACGCTCGGAAAGATGTTTAAGATCTCTAAAACCAAATTTACACCAACGTGAGTCACGGGCGGTAGCAAAAAGTAGGCATTAAAAACAAAAAAAGGCATTTTTGGCCTCGCGGTAACACAACCATTCGTGTTTTTTATACCAAGTTTCTGCGCAGAATGTACGCCGACGCTTTCCTCCGTCATGGGATTGTTCCAGTGAACAATTTTTTGGTTGATAAGGCCCAAGACGTTGTACCTCTAATTTTTGTTCCAGCGGCAGCTGCGAAAACGGAGTGCGAAATAGTGTGCATCAACCTTATTCATTAGGAGGTCTAAGGCTAAGAAATGCGAAGCCGGAAAGAAGTGAGGAGCTCAAAAGGAATGTGGAAAATCGAAAGCAAATGGACTAAAGGTCTTTAACTGATTCAAATAGCGAAACAAGCGACAAAAACGAAGGCGAGGAAACTATCAACTCTTCAAGCAACCAACGAACGAGAAGGAATGCGTGAATATGTCAACACGTTGTTGTAAGAAACGTCGGCATTGTGTCGTCATAATTTCGGGGCTAGCCCCGATCGGCCCCGATGATTTAGTAAAAGAAACAGAAAACAAACGAGACAAACGCGGCGAGTGGAAGATAAAAAAGAGAGAATACGATATACAATAAGCAACCGGGGCAAAATCGGCGTCGCCCTGTCGACGTTCGGCGAAGGCTTTGCGAGCGAAAAATGAACCATGTCGGGAGAATATGGCTAGTGTAGACAGTCTGTGCAACCGATATTGAGGTATTTTTCGAATATTTTTTATTATACCGAAAAAACCGATACCGATGTACTGTTTCGTAATGTTTTATTGACTTTTCCGTTTACCTCAAAAACTTTAGTATATGTTATACTCTGACAACTTAATGCTAATATTTGTAACAGGGCGTATGAACGATACTCCATGGAGATGCTGCAACAAATTTTGAAAACAACTTGCGTGTGAATGCAGATATTAGTTTTAGGTGACAGCAAAAATAAAAACGCTTTATTTCTAAAAAGGTATTGTTTTAATGTTTTCTTATGTGTCAAGTTTTATACGTTTTATAAATTATTATAAAGGAGAAGAAGATGAGAAATTTTGTACTTTTTTTCAATAAATTCTAATTAAAACTAGCTATTCCTAAATTTTCAATGAGGAAGTAGCCTAGTTACCCGGTTTTGTGGTGGTGGTATGGTATGGGGGTGTTAATATAAACTTGAATGGAACCCCTGTCATACTTGGTTTTCATGATGGGTATATTATGCCGAGATGAACTACAAAATTCGATCAAGGAGTTAACTTTACTCGTATACATAAACTAAGTCGCCAATAAATTTGAACGTAGGAGGTCCAAACCTTAGAAAACTACATTGTCGTAGTGTGCAAGGATTCTTATTGGACACGTTTAGTGGTCATAACGATCGTTTCAAAATTTTGTTGTTATTGGACACGAAGTGGACATAACGATCGTTTCAATATTATGTTGTTGTTGTTGTTGTTCTTGTTCTTTGACACGTTTTTAAAAAGTCGCTTTTCTCTTCGAATACTGGACCAATTGCTTTGAAATTTTCAGTGGTTGAAGATAAAATTTTTCTCCAGAAGGCTATTACTTTTATTTATTTTAAAATTTCCTGTGGACTTCGAGAGATTCGTTTTTTGTGTTCAAAGAAGTGATCAGAATAAAAAATAGTGACACCTTGTGGCGATTGCGCGAAGGCATATCAACTGAGAAGCGATCGTAATTCTTGCTCCGCTAAGAGTTGTTTATGGGGAATCGAGATGTTTGGGGGTTACCGGTACCCGCAATGCAGCAATGCAACGGTTTGCGATTTCAATAAACTCGAAAGGTTTTTGAGGGTTAAGTTAAACTACCGATACTGTTTCGCTCGGTGTTCAATCAATCAATGTTCACTTTCCATATATTTCAGTATTCTGTGGTTCCCGTGTTAAGCGAAAGTGATACCGGTACCGGTACGATAGCTGGGAAAGCTATGACAGTCCCTGTGGCCTGTACGGCACGTACCGGTACCGTTTACAGGTTTACGTACCGTCTTACCAATACCGGTACCGTAGTCCGTTACGGTACGTACCGGTACAGCTGTACAGGTACGATATCGGTAGACTAGTACAGTACGGTATTACTGTACTAGTTGCATTAATTATATTTGTTTAGAGTGTGTGCCTGCATTGAAATTAAGTTTTTGTAATGAGCCAGCATGTCTGCACAGCTGCTATGCCTTTCTAATTTTTCGCTGTTTCGTTACATTTTTTTGGAAACAACATTTGCATAAATACGTATGGTACCGTATGCAGAGGAAGAAACTTCACAAAAATTTCAACATGTGCAGCAGGTTAGTGTACATAAATCAGTAAATACAGAAATATGCAGAGGAAGAGACTTTACAAAAAGGATAAGATTTACATAATTATCCCGATGGAGAGGAAAGAGGAAAGCCTATAG